ACAATGTTAAGATTAGAGGAGGAAAACACGTTAAGATCAGTTGATGGCTATTGAATGACTTTAAATCTTTTTAATTTGGCTATTTCTTAAAGCAACAATTTCTATTCTAAAGTGTTAGAATATAATATGTAAAATGTTGCTTTAATAATTAGGTTAGTATAATAATTAGTATGCTTTAATAATGTACCTTTAATAATGTTGTTTGGTTTGTGCTTCTACTTTCGGTTTGTAATTGTTCTCCCTCTCCTCTATAAAGGAGAGAGCTCAACACACCATTAAATACATCAATCAATAATACATACAATTTATTCTCTCTCTATCAATATATTTTTACAATGCAAATCTTTAACAGCCATAATTCCGAGCACCAATTTGATAGTAGTCAACTTCACAACTAGAGAGAAAATATCAGTGTAGTCAACGCCTTCCTTTTGCTGAAACTCCTTTGCAACTAATCTAGCCTTGTAGCATTTACTCTCATCATGTTCCTATTGGATCCTGTAAACTCACTTATTGTGCAATGCTTTCTTACCCATTGGTAATTCAGTCAGCTCCCATGTCTGGTTTGCTATGAGTGAGTCTATCTCATCCTGCATAGCTGACTCCCACTTAGTTTAATCATCAACCTACAAAGCCTCATCATAATTTTTGGGTTCAACCCCATCAGACAACAACAAATAATGTAAACATGGAGAATAAGGTTATGTACATTTAGACTCTCTTTCTGACCGTCTCAACTTAAGAATAGGAGTACGTGGCTCAATTTGTGGAATAAGATTTTCAGGATTATTCTAAATCCTACTATTTAAATCAGTCTCAGTAATCTCCTCTAACTCAACATGCTCATGACAAATAAGATTCATATTCAGATGCAGACTTATCCTTATCTTTATACATTACTTTCTCATTAAATATGACATCTCTACTCCTGATTATTTTTCGTTTTTTATCATCCCAAAACCGATAACCAAATTGATCAATGTCATACCCAATAAAAGTACATTTAACAGATTTTGGATCTAGTTTATTTCTATCAGCAGAATCTATATACACATATGAAACACAACCAAATACCTTAAAAAAAGAAAGGTTTATCTCTTTATCACTCCAGGCTTCTTCTGGTAACTCTCCATCTAATGGAATAGATGGACCACAATTAATCAGATATGCTACAGTGTTAAGTCCAAAACATTTTCGGCAATCCAGCATGTATCCTCATGTTTCTAGCACGTTCATTTGGAGTTCTATTCATGCGTTCTGCAACACCGTTCTGCTAAGGTGTCTTTCAAATAGTCTTTTCCATTCTAATTCTACTTTCTGCACAATATTTCTTGAACTCACTGTCCTCATACTCCCCTCTATTATCTGATCTCAAGCACTTTGAGACCTGTTTCAGTCTCCACCAAGGCTGTCAACTTCTTAAAAGTAGCATAAACTTCAAATTTATGTTTCTGAAAGAAAATCCATACCTTCCTCGTCGAGTCACCGATAAAGGTAACATAGTAAGATAATCCTCCAAGAGATGAAATTAGTACAGGTCCCCACACATCTATATGAACCAACTCCAGATTTTCTGACTTCGGTTTTCTGCTATCTTTTGAAAAACTAACCCACTTTTGCTTAGCAAAGATGCAATCCTCACAAAAGTCAATGTCCACTGATTTCAAATATGATAGTTTCCCCTTAAATTCAAGTACCTTCATTCCTGTTTGACTCATATGCCTAAGCTTCTGGTGCCACAAATTTGAGTCCTCCGTCTTATCAACAACTACTATTGAATATCTGTTGTTCGTAGTCATGTAAAGAGTGCTTGCCTTTTGTCCACGAGCAACAACCATGGCTCCTTTGGTGATTTTTCACAAACCACCCATGAACGTAACAACATGACCGTCATCATCAAGTTGTCCAACATAAATCAAGTTTCTTTTCAAACTAGGCACATGTCTAACCTTTTGTATCTTCCAAACAGATCTATTTGGCAACCTGGGCGTCATATCCCCTATACCCATAATCTTCAAATGTTCATCATCAGCTAAATAAACCTTCCCGAATCACCACCAATGTAATTGTCCCTGATTTCCCTCTGTGAAATAGAATAAAATGATGCCCCAGAATCCAAAATCCAAGATTCAAGAGGGCTGTCTGTTAAAATCCACCTACTCTCCACCTACTTCACCCACTTAAACCTACTCCACTAAACCTAACCCACTAAATCCACATACTCTCCACCTACTTCACCCACTTAAACCTACTCCACTAAACCTAACCCACTACACCACTACCACCTCACCTACTCCACTAAACCTAACCCACTACACCACTATCACCATCCACTACACACCATCCACTACACCTACATCTATATAAGGAACCATTTGTAATAGACAGAAAAATATATCAATATATCAATCAATAATAATACATACAATTTATTCTCTCTCTTTCTCTATACATTATTTCTTACACTGTCCACAATCAAGATCAAAGCACCACAAATCTCCTCTGTTACAGTATTAGCAGACTTCTGATTTTGGTCACCTTTGTTCTTATTCAGTACTAGGCAATCTTTTCTTAGATGTCCCTTGTTCCACAGTTCCAACAACTTTGCCCCTCTTCAGTTCGTGACTTGCTTTTGTGTTTGGATTTTGATTTGTTGCAGTTTGGGTTTCTTTGTGCTGATCTTCTTCTGGCTTTTGTATTTAGGGTAGAACCAGATGTTTCTCCTAATTCCCTCGTGCAAATTTCTTCACTCAGAATTAAATCTCAAATATTATTGTAATTTAACTTTTCTTTTCCCGAAGAATTACTCACTGCTGTTACAGTACCATTCCAGCTATCTGACAAACTAGATGAAAGAATTAAAACCCTAACCTCATCATCAAATTCAATATCTACATAACTCGATTGGGTTACGACTATATTGAATTCCTTCAGATGCTCAACCATCGAGTCACCTTCTGTCATCCTCAGATTAAACAGATGCACATCAAATAAACTTTATTTGAGACAAAGGGTTTTGCCACCATGAGACTTGTTGTAGTTTTCTCCTTCGTTATGTTAAACGTAACGTTACGAGACAACATTAACCGAATAACAGCCAACGCTTGTCGATCAAGAAGAGTCTACTTATCATCCTTCATCTTTTCTAGTTTTATCCCTAAAAGGGGCTGATATAGATTTTTCTGATACAAATAGTCTTTAATCTGCATCTCCCAAAATTCGAAATTTGTGCCATTGAATTTATCGATTCTAACCTTTCTTTCATTTGTGGCCATCGCTGCCACTCGAACCAAAGCTCTGATACCAGTTGTTAGGAATTAACTCTTCCTAATCAGGATCGGCGAGACAAAAAATAGCAAACAAAAAAGATAAACGAATCAAAGAAATCAAACACACACACACAAAGAACACAAGGATTTACGTGGTTTACCCCAGAATAGGACTACGCCCATGGCTGCTGCGGACACACACAAAGAACACAAGGATTTACGTGGTTCACCCCAGAATAAGGCTATGTCCATGGCTGCTGCAGTTTTCATTGTGATCAGAATACAATACAATTCTCTTAACCTACAAGAGGTATGTGGTTCATCCCAGGATAGGGCTACGTCCACATTGGGGAGCCCACAAGTTACGTAGTTCATCCCAGAATAGGGCTACGTCCACAGTGGCTGGGTCTTTCACTATGATCAGAAAACAATACAACTCTCTTAACTAGGGTCCACAGACCAAAATATACCAATTGTCAGGGAATTGGGGAGCCCACAAGCTACGTGGTTCACCCTAGAATAGGGCTACGTCTATACGGCTGCTGCAGTTTTCACTATGATCAGAAAACAGTACAAGGGTCCACAGACCAAACAATATACCAGTTGTTAGGGAATTAGGAAGTCACAAGCTTGCACACAACAATCATTGGGTTAATCCGTTGATGAGAAACTTCAGAGTCCACATGCTTAACTTCAAGGCCTAACATACGTTATTTGAAACTCATACCCACTTAAAAGGTTAAACCTATAAGTGGAGAGCCTATCTAATGTATATTAAGACCTATTTCTTTTGTTCTTTATCTGATGTGGGACTCTACCTTCACACATGCTCCAACAATCTCCCTTTCATGTGTGAACCAAACATCGAGTCTCAGCTCGCCTTGCTCCCCCTTGAGTTTGATCTATCATCAGCAAGTTCGTCATAGATCATACGTACACTCCTCGTTAATCTTGATCTATAACTCTCCAACATCGAGTCTAGCTTGGGCCACCCACACACACTCCATCATGAGCCACCATACTCCATTGAGAGCCACCTTGTCGCTGTCCAACTTTGCCACGTGCACCAGGAATTTTCTTAGTTCCATCAAGAGTCATCATGGATTTTTCTTGTTCCATCGAGAGTCTTTGTGCAAACCCAAGCCCAACAACATCAATGCTCTAGGAGAGCCCGCCCATAGATTGCTAGCCATTGACTCTGATACCAGTTGTTAGGGAATTAAGGAGCCCACAAGCGCACAACAATGCCGGCCCAATCTAACGGGGAGAAACTCTAGAGTCCATAGACGTCACATTAAGGCCTAACATACATTATTTGAAACATATACCCACTTAAAAGCTTAAACCTATAAGTGGAGACTTATCTGATGTGGACGGGGTCATTACAATATGAATATAATAAAAAGTCTTACGTTGTGTTTGGTTGGGAGATTTGGGAACGGATTTGGAAAAGGAAAGAGAAAATGTGTGTGAAACTAGATGAAATGTAGGTATATTTTATTCACATTTTACCTTCCTTTTCCATTTTCCATTCCAAATCCTTTCTTAAATCCTCCAACCAAACACAACGTTAATATCTTGTGGTTGGGTGGAACTCCCTCTTGTAAATTGAGGTGGGAAGGTGTAATGATGCATTGCCTGTTTTTTTATGTGAATACTACCAAGGTATTGAAGCCATTTAATAAGATAGGTTTCTGTGAGAATACTAACAGACTATTGCTTTCTTTTCAGAACACTGAAGAAAAATTTCAAAAGAAAATACTGAATGAACGAATAGCAAAGTTATCTGGAGGGATTGCCATTCTCCAGGTGAACTGAGAATTACTGTAGCTGGCATCTTCATTATCTGGAGTTTTCGAAACTGATATCCTTCTGGGCTAATGCATTTAATTTTATGAAATGATTAACAGGTTGGAGCACAAACACAAGTAGAGCTGAAGGATAAACATTTGAGGATTGAAGATGCTTTGAATGCAACTAAGGTAGCAAATTGCTTGTTTTCATTTTTTTTTGTTTTAATTTTTTTTTTTTAAGGTAGTAGTGATAAGCTTATGAAATTGACATTGTCCAGGCAGCTATTGAAGAAGGCGTTGTAGTTGGTGGTGGCTGTAGCCTTTTGAGGCTATCTTTAAAAGTGGATCATATCAAAGGACTTCTAGACAACGAAGAACAGATGGTTTATCTTCTTTCTCTTTTGTGTTATGCTTGTTTTCCATTTAAATTTGGAAATTTATATAAGATGTCTTAAGACAAGAAAATATATCCCCGTATATATTGTGCAATATATAAGCTTCTTCAAACTTAATATGCTGTTAAGATTTGGCAAGTCCTTAGTTAAACAATGTTCAGCCTAGAATTTTATTGGGAAGTAATGCTTATTTTTTCGCTGTTTGTTTAAGAATTCTAAAATTCCATTAAATGGACATCATTTATATGTGTTTGTCATATTACTATTCAATTTGTGATCCTATATAAAATTGAGAACATGTATTTATGTGCATGCAGATTGGAGCTGAGATCTTCAGAAGAGCTTTGGCCTATCCTATAAGGCAGATAGCCAAAAATGCTGGTCTAAATGGCAATGTTGTTGTAGACAAGGTCTCCTCTTATTACTGCATCATATACTTATAACCAATAGATTGAAGTGGAAAAGAGGAGAAGAAAAAAGAAAAAGAAAATATGTGAACTGACTTATAAAATGGAATTTGAATTCAGTAAAGGCGCTGTTGAGATTTATTTGTTTTTCAGGTTCTGTCCTTTGACAATGCAAGTTATGGGTACAATGCTGCAAGAGACCACTATGAGGATTTAATGGCTTCTGGAATTATTGATCCATCAAAGGTATCACTAAATAAATGGTTTTTGCATTAAATCACCTTCTGCTACGGAACTAACCTTCAGTTATGCTATAGATTTATGGGTAATGTGTGCAAGGTCATAATTTAGCAAAACCACTAGAGGCCCTTATAATTTGATGGCAAAAGATGTGCTGCTGCATATATTTGGATTTTGTTGAAGAAAGTATCCAATATATCATTATGTAGATATATTTGGCATAAAGGCAATATATTAGAACTGAATAGGGAAAACACCAGTCATAAAAAAATTAAAAAATATAGGGAATACATCTAAATTATTTTGAACAAAAGAATTAAACTAATTTGTTGTTGTATGACTGAAACCTGGCCTTTTCTTGACTACACTAAAACCTGACTGCTATCAGGAAATGTCGCAAGCTTGCATTCTTACACCCATTTTTTAATCTATATTCCTCTGTATGTCAGGACATAATTGTTAAATAATCTTGATTCTCAATGCACGTTGTTATATAAAAAAATTAAGCTGTTAGTTCTTGAAACAGGTGGTTAGATGTTGTTTGGAGCATGCAGCATCGGTTGCCAGGACATTTTTGACATCTGATTTAGTTGTTGTCAACATCAAGGAACCAAAACCTGTCCAAATGAGAAAACCAATGCCAACCTCAGGTACAAAACTCACTCAAAAATCACAATCGGTTCAATCCTACAGCCACACTCCTAGGTTGGTAAGCTTTTGCATCCTGGTATTGACTTATAACAAACTATATTTTTCTTCGTTCATGCAGGTGTTGGACCCATTGGCTTTTAGTTTGTGTTTGGGACTCTATTGCCATCTCATTTTGGCTGTTCAAACTCTGAATGCATTATTTCAAACACAGAAGGAATTATAGTGGAATTTTAAGACAGAAGAAGCTCAACCAGAATTGGCATTGATTAATATTTGTGGTGCTGACCCGGCCTTTAAGCAGGTTTGTTTTTTGGCGTTTTGACTTTTTCGAGGCTGTTTTGTTGTCCAAGAAGCCAGCACCACACTTGTCTCATCGAAGAAACAAGGATTTTGACTGCAAATTTGCACCGCGTGATAAAAAAGGCTAGTCTTATGAAGAGGAATGAAGAAAGATGTGACAGATGTCCGGTTTAACACACTTCTAAATGGGAAATCTCATGCACTCGGCAATTGTACTGTACAAGTAAATGTGAATTCCCCATTGTAACAAAGGCAATACCACACTGTACAGCCTAAGGGGAAATTTTAACTTTTATGTTTTGTTGTATGTAGTAGTAAGTTTTATGATGGAGCAATGAAAGATTGATATTTTCATAAGCTTCCTGTATGTTTATCTTCAATATTTACTTCTCACATGCCCTATCCTTTGAAAAATTATCTGCATATGCTTGCATCTGTAAAGTATTGTTCTAGTTGTTCAATCGTTCTATAAGGTTGTGTTTGGATCTTGGATTTGGGAGGAATTTGTGAAGCGAAAGAAGAAGGGAACGAACTCCACAAATCCTTCTACTAATCCACGATTCAAAAACAACATAAATAAGAAAAGAAAAACTGAAAGAAATAGGATGCAAAACATTCAAAACACTGATAAAAGAGCAAAAGCAAATGTATTATAATTTATTTGTCTATTCACTACGGATTTGTTTTCGTTTTGCATCTATGAAGGAATATTGGAGACGATATGATTTTTAACTTGTGTTTTCTTTTATCTTCTTGTAGGCTTTACAAAAACTTCTAGTGTGACCAGCATTGTTAACTCTTCTAGTTTCCTGGTGTATTTAGAGGATAACAGATTCACATTGTGCTTTCTTTTTATCCTGTTGAATCCATCCCTGGTTACTGAAGCAATGAAAGAGGTACTGTAAAACATTTTTGCGTTGGTTCTCATTATACAATTGTATTTGTTACGAGGATTCTTGTTGCCTAGGAAGTGAGTATTTAGCAGAACTCTTGAGTGGCTTGGTTGGTGAGGGGACTAGGATCCAAAAATGGTGCAAAATGCCAATGAGAGAGAGAGAGAGAGCATGAAGTTGCATGGAAAGTATGATGTTTGTCCCAAGGATGGGGAAAAGAGATAAGCTTGAGGAAATAAAGAGGTGACAGTTGCTGGTAACCTTATCTTACACAGGTAAGAGTTGTCCAGTTTAGCCGGGTGGACTCACATAGAATTTTTGATAATAGATATGTTTTTTTGGGGGGGTGTCCATAGCAGTGCTCCTTCCAGTTCTTACTTCTCTCGAAATACTTTACCCTAACAACGACAAAGCTTTAAATTAGAGAGCACTGATTTTAGTTATTGGGTAGATGATGAGGTTCAATACATGATCTATTATCTACCATATTGAATTGGTAATCACCAATTCATTTAAAACTTTAAACTATTAAAAGATACTATTTTATTATTTATATTATATATCCTCAACAACACTACTTATCTAGTTGCTTACAAGTTTTATTGAGGGCCAGGGATCTCCATTCCTCAAATTCCATTATTTGTATGTTCAAAATGTATTTTCAATCATAAAATCATGTGAGTGTTTCAAGACACACAAGAATCAATATATGATTTTTAGTTGAAAATATATTAAAAGAGACTAAAATAAGAATTTAAGAATTAAAAATCAAGTAATATTGAAAATAAATAAGTTAATAAGTAAAATCTGAATACATTTTAAAAATTACATAGTTTGAAATCAATTTTTGACGTAAATAAATTAAATTCAAACACATTTCAAAAGAATAACCTACTATTCAATTTGATAAACTTATATATACTCTAATAAAACAAAAATCAAACTATTCAAATTCAGTTCAAGATTAACTTGCTATATAAATAAATCAAATTTTATTATATTTTAAAACTTATTAAAATTTCTTATCTCAACTCGGCTCGTTTACACGTTAAAAATAATGAAAAATAATTGAGAATATTAAAAGTGATATTCTAATAGCACTAATAATAATGTGATAGTATATGCCTTATTTATTTATTTATATTTTTTTTAACATTTTCAATATATTAATACTATTAATGTTTTTTTTTTAATTGTATGAATCATTGTTGAACGATAATAGGATGTTAGCCGAGGCCGATACATGAGAGTCAAGATCCCTTCCTTGCATTTTTTATTTGTAGGGTCATTGAGTCCACTTTTAGGCCCAATTTTGATAATTCGAACCGTTCATATTTTAAGATTTGTTCAGTATATCATACCTGTAAAAAATCAAATTAATCGGATATCAAAAAGCATGTATTCAGAAAATTATTTATTAAATTTTTTTAAAAAATAATTTTTAGTTTGATTTTTCTGAACACATATTTTTTGATATTCGATTAATTTAATTTTTTTACAAGTATGATACATTGAATAAATTTTAAAATATAAACTGTTCCTATCATCAAAATTAAGACTAAAAGTAGGCTCAATAACCTTTCAAGTAGGAAATAATGCAATGGGATCCTTGCTCCATACATGAGCCCAGAAATATCCATGACCTTGTCAGCTGATTATGTAACCACCCCTCTCTCTCTCTCTCTCTCTCTCACTGCTATTGATCAACACGTGTGTATGAATATATATATGGTGATGTAGAGAAACCTAATAACCCATTTCAATTGTCCAGTTTTGGAGCGAATTGCAAGTATAGATACAAAACCATATAGAGGATCAGAAGAGAGAGAAGTATCCGATCAATTTAATTTTTTTACAAGTATGATACATTGAATAAATTTTAAAATATAAACTGTTCGTATCATCAAAATTGAGACTAAAAGTAGGCTCAATAACCTTTCAAGTAGGAAATAATGCAATGGGATCCTTGCTCCATACATGAGCCCAGAAATATCCATGACCTTGTCAGCTGATTATGTAACCACCCCTCTCTCTCTCTCTCTCTCTCTCACTGCTATTGATCAACACGTGTGTATGAATATATATATGGTGATGTAGAGAAACCTAATAACCCATTTCAATTGTCCAGTTTTGGAGCGAATTGCAAGTATAGATACAAAACCATATAGAGGATCAGAAGAGAGAGAAGGCAATAATGTTGGTGATAGGAGTGAGTGTGCAGTGCTTAATGGACCTAGTAGTAGCAGGGGTTTCTCTGGTAATTGGGTTGGGGATCTTCGCTTTCATTGCTTCAATCCTCTGCTCTGTTGCTTTCTTGCACAACGCCAAGGACGTCTCTTAAACCCAAGGTAAAATTAAATCAATTTTCGAAATTTAGAACACTGTTACTTTGTGGGTTTTCAAGAATTTTTTAAATTTCAATGTTTTAGGCTGTTAATTTCGTTGTTCCAAAAAAAAAAAAAAAAAAAAAAAAAAAATATCGTTGTTCAGCTACTTGTATTGTTAGTTTTGTTGTAATACGTTGATCTCAGATTTTCTTGAGAAAATGCAAAAAATAAAGAGGCATATTATTATTTTTTGTTGGTGGGTTTGTTTGAGGCCATTTTCCTTTCAATAAAGTTATATGTGCTTTTTAACTTTGGGATTTTTGTGGTACGAATGTGATCATATTGGTTTCTGCATCTAATTTGTGTTTGTTTTAGGGTTATTATTATTATATTACGCTCATTTTTATTTCAGAGAAAAACCCTTCTTTGCTGGATCAAAATGGGATAGCACAGTTGTCTCTCTTTTAATATCTGGAAGCTTTTGGGTATAAGAGTTAGTTTGTTCTTTTGATTGTTCAATTGATAAATGATGCCTTGGATTCCTATGCACTGGGCTTTTCATTTGAACTGTTGTGGTGTAATTTGGTGGTTTTATTATTTCTGTTTTGAATAGTACTGGGAATTTGGATGGAAATACACCGACCTTAGACAGTTGCTATGCTTGGTTACTTGTGTTTCTTTAGCATTAAGAAATATTTGTTCTTGGTTCTTATTTTTTTAGTTACTTTCTTTTTTTTTTTCTTTCCAGAGATGACTCTACATTTTCAGTTCTTACTCATGCGTTTGGTTCCCTCTCCCACACTAGAATACAGTTATTTTCGTATGCTGTTTTTTCCACATGTCTTACATACACCTCCTAATTGTTTTTTTTTTTTTTTCTTTTTATAAACTTAACAATATGTGGATGCAAAAAAACCAGTAATCAATTAGATGGTGAGAAGAGAAAGTTTGGTAGAGTAAACTAAAAAGATATGGGACATGGTTACAACATGATACTTACGCCAACACGGATTTATTTTATTTTTTAAATTAGGTCGCAACATTGCAATGACCCAATTACACAACAACTAACAAATATAAATGTTTTTATACATATGAAAGTAATCCATCCAATAGGAACTAAACTTGATGTGTATTATTTTATTTTTTTATACATACATGAAAAAAATTAACTTTTTGAAATTTTATGTTACAAATGCGTTTATTTATTTATTATATCAAAGTAATTTCTATATATTGGAAGAGAAACGTGAAAACAAAAAAATCTTAATAATTGGTACTCAAGTTATTTTCTTTATACACTTGTGGTGTGTTTCATGTGTGTCCATGCTATGGACACATCTATCACCTAATGTTCAAAGATAGTCCAATATAAGAATATTAAAAATTAATAATAGAAAACATTTGAACACTTGATCAACACATGTTGGAGACTTGGGGCCTAGGGCATGTCTGACAAGTGTTCAACATATACACGACATCTTCTTAAAATTAGAGGTGTTCATGCGTTTTAGCTTTAGAGGAACAAAGGGAAGGAAGGTAGAATGCCACATCTACATTATCACATATACAAAGCCACAGATCACAACCTTTTGAAACCAACTCAAGCTTTCCATATTCTGTCCTACTTGGTGTACATTCAACTTTCCATGTGATACATACCATGGCCACTGCCACAATGCCAACCTGCTCTCACACTACATTATTATTTCTTCAATGTTGTCTTACACACACATTGACAAATGATTGCTATGGTGCTACCGTCTTTGACATCTACACTGCTATTGTTGCAGTGTCATTCTTCACCATCACCGGAATGGTGTTGTCATCCTTCCTCCCTCAATTGACGCAACCAAAAATCATTGCCTATGTAGTTTTGATTTAGAACATAAAACTAATAATTTAATTGAACTTCATTATTGGAGTTCATTTTGATCTTAGAATACAAATTGCAGCAAGGTGTAACTTCAGTAAAACAAACGTACACAAAAAAAAGTTAGCAAGGGCAAAATATCCTTGACATCCCTGTTCCCTTCTTTCTCTTTCTTATGTTTTCAATATAAAAGTTAATTGCAAAGTTTAGACACTACAATATCTCCTGAGGAGTGTATGGTCTTGGCCTCTCGGATATGCCGCCAGATATTCAACCTTTTAGTTTCTTTTCCATTGGTGATAAGAAGCTGCCTAATGTTGATGGACTTTAAAATGGGGTTTCTACCAGAATTTTTAGGTTGAAGTGTTGATAGTTAAAGAAGGGTAAATTACATTTTGCACCCATGCACTATACCCTGAATCCCACTTTGGTCCCTCATTTTTCAGCTGTAACAGTTGACTTCTTGCACTTTCAGTCATGTTGCAATATCCTTTTGTTAGTTTGGTGTTAAATTTGCTAATGAAAATGTCATATGACCGTCACATAAGGCATTTTTAGGGGCGAAGAAGAAGAAGAAGATTACATTCAACTTGACTGGGTGTGTAAAGGGTTGACTGACAACTGAAAAATGAGGGACCAAAGTGGGATTCAGTGTATAGTACAGGGGTGAAAGTTGTAATTTACCCTTTAAAAAAAGATCTATCCTTGTTTTGCTGAAAGGAGAATCCTTAGAACTTTGATTCAGATGAGTCATGAGAGAAGTAGGCACGTGAAGGGATATAGGAGAATAGGAGCTGTCCCATGATCATCAATCTGTGTGACAGCCAAGTTAAATTTCTCTCTATTTTTGCAAGGTGAATTAAGAATTGTCAACTAAGAATTAGTTGTGAAGATTGAAATACTAGTTTCATAATTTTAATTTTTAAATATTATAACATTTTCTTTGAGTAACTCGTCTCTTTTTATTTGTGTTGTTGCTGATAATATAAAACATGATTATCTTTCTAAATTGGTTTCAAGGGTTTTCATCTGAGCACAATTTCCTCAATATCTTGGTGTACATGCACCTTTCAAAAAGTAGACCCTTTGAAGATAAGCTACTTTTTCTTAGATAGGAAAGATAAGCTACTAACATGTATTAAAAGAAGTGTTTGAGAGATAACAAGAGCATGTCACGCAGTGGCAGTCTTACTAAAACTACTGAAAATGTTTAAAACTAAAAGCACAATACCCTATGATAATTTGCTAATGGCTTAATGTATGAATAGGCTTAGAGAAGTTGAAGTGGAATAATTAGGTTTAAAGCCCAAAGATAACTAGTCCAGTTTGTGATATGTGCAATGGATATGTCGGATGCTAGTTTATAGTCCTATACTTTGGTATTTAGTTCTTTTGGGTTATGAGTTTCCATGTATTGATTTGCAATAGATTTTCAAGTCCAAAATGTTTTTTTTTTAAAGAAATGTGATTGTAGTGAAATATTGGTGCCTATTCATGTCTAATGTATTATGCTCTTTGAATCATATTGTGGTAGAAGTGAGTTAGTAATCGTTAATGTTAACACTACCTCTGTCTCTGTTTGGCAGGAAATGCGTTCCATTTTGAGGTTTTCAATTGAATAATAAATGGGAGCATGTGTTCTACTTTGTGGTGCATCCTTGTAGATCCTCACACTGCTTTGACCATGAGTTCGACACTTTTTCATTTGTTACTGGGCACGGTAGGTGAGCAGCATAGCATGAAGTTCGGTGAACACTTGCCAATGTGACTGATTGTATTGTTCAGTTCTTATGAAAAGAGAGGTATGTATGTTTGTTGTAACTTGTAAGGCAAGCAGTGCTTTCATATGTGACTCTTTTTAAGCGGACTGCGTTACCATTTTGAGCTGAGACTCTCCACTATTTACATGTAGTGTGTGTGTAGGAATTTTACCAGAAAGTGATGATAAAAAATTTCAAGAGAGGCCTTAATTCAGATTTGCATTTCTTTCCTTCACATGTTGTGCATTGCTCCTCAGCAGTCAGGTTTCTCACTGCAGTCTTGAAAGCAAAAGAATGTTGGCTGCAAATTCATATGCTTGTTTGATTGTGTTTTCGTTTTCAAATTTTAATTTTCAAAAAAAAGTCATTTTTGGACTCTAGTATCTTACTAGTTGAAAGGTGTGATGGTTAGACTTATTTTTGAAGCATACCGCCCATGCCAGAAATGATGAAAGGCAAGTTGCATTTTGTACTCTTGTACTTTACGCCTAATTTCATTTTACCTCCTAACATTTTAATTGTACCAGTCGATTCGTTGGACTTTGAATCAAGTTATAATTGGGTCTAATCTTATAACATCATTTAAAAATTAGAGGAGGGACTAAAATGGAATTTTGTATAAGTATGAACGGTCCAAATAATAAATGAAGTGTTTAATAGTAACACTCATGTGGTGATCTACAGATCAACCGAGATTGTTACAGGGATCCAATTATGGTGTATGGAAGAACATGGTTAAATTGGTGTGTTTAGGGGTGAATTTTTTAGTAATTTAAATTTTTTTTTTCCAGTTTTAGTCAAAAAAATTTAAGTTCTTTTAAAAAAACTTTTCATTTTTAGATTCTATTTAATTAGACGGTTCATAAAATTTAAAAAAAAAAATAGCAATTTGGGGGGGACAATCCATTAAAAGACCAATAAACAATCTTTTTTTTTTTTGGCTGTTTTAAAAGAAAATTTTAGTTAACATTTTAAAGTTTTTTTTTTTTTTTTAAAAAAAATACTTTTATACTAGAGAGATTTAGAAAGTAAAAAATTGTGATCAAATTTTTTAAAAAGTTCATTAATAGTATAAAAATAAAAAATGTGAGTAAGCTGGATCCCAAACTCACAATCTTTCTGCATTAGATTTTGGGCTATTTTTAAAAGTAGGAAAAAAAAAGGGGGGTTTTTTTTAAGGTCCCTGATATTATGATTTTATAGCATAAAGGATATTCAATATTTTTATAATGTCTAAGGTTCTTCAACATCAATCCAGAGAAAATTCAATCTAGTGAAATTCTTTGGTCCAAACCCAGAAAAAATTCAATTTAATCCAGAGAATTTCTCTGGTCCAAACCAGATAAAATTCAATTCAGTGAAATTCTTTGGTCCAAAACCAGAGAAAATTCAATTTAATCCAGAGAAATTCTCTAGTCCAAACCAGAGAAAATTCAATTCAGTGAAATTCTTTGGTCCAAAACCAAAGAAAATTCAATTTAATTCAGAGAAATTCTCTGGTTCAAACCAGAGAAAATTCAATTCAGAGAAATTCACTCTAGCCGAATTTTCTCTAGGTTGGTCTAGAGAAATTCTCTGATTTGGTCCATAGGAGAAATTTGAACAACCAAAGATATATACCTAGTGTCAGTGGCATCCGTCATTTCCATCTTCATCTTCTTACTGTTGGTACAATTATTAGAGTCTTGAATTTGAAGTTGTGATTTCAAATCTTCCACTTTGTTTTTGAGCTATGACTTGCTATGATACTAATTATCAGTGCCTGCCAACAAACCATTCAAGAACATCACAAGAAGTGGGAATACAAACCAGAGTCACAATTCCATGGATCTGAGCTTCTTTAGCTCTCTTACAGATATAAAACTGAAGTTGATGACCATCGGTTAACCAAACTAGAGACCCAGAACTAAAAGCCTTCCCGGGAACTCCATCTCCGACGTCTCCGATCATCTCCGACGATCTCTTCCGCGGCAATGGTGACCAGAAGTCCGATTCCGTCGCCGGAGATAGACTAGGGTTCCGAGCTCCTTCGTTCCAGTTGGAGAATGCGCCAGTGCCTCCGTGATCAACGACGGATTTTAGGGAGAGGAGAGAGAGACTGTTGGAGGAGAGAGAGTGTTTGAAGTTGAGATTTTGGATGTAAATGAAAAAACATAATAGGAGCAGAGAGAGTTGAGACATTTGAAGAAAACAGAGCAGAGTTGAGCAAATTTCTCTGATATATGTTTAGGGACCTTAGACATCAAAAAATATTTTTGTGAATCTCTTCCATTACGAAAAGTGGGAGAGGGACCTCTCTGTTTGGCAGGAAATGCGTTCCATTTTGAGGTTTTCAATTGAATAATAAATGGGAGCATGTGTTCTACTTTGTGGTGCATCCTTGTAGATCCTCACACTGCTTTGACCATGAGTTCGACACTTTTTCATTTGTTACTGGGCACGGTAGGTGAGCAGCATAGCATGAAGTTCGGTGAACACTTGCCAATGTGACTGATTGTATTGTTCAGTTCTTATGAAAAGAGAGGTATGTATGTATGTTGTAACTTGGAAGGCGAGCAGTGCTTTCATATGTGACTCTTTTTAAGCGGACTGCGTTACCATTTTGAGCTGAGACTCTCCACCATTTACATGTAGTGTGTGTGTAGGAATTTTACCAGAAAGTGATGATAAAAAATTTCAAGAGAGGCCTTAATTCAGATTTGCATTTCTTTCCTTCACATGTTGTGCATTGCTCCTCAGCAGTCAGGTTTCTCACTGCAGTCTTGAAAGCAAAAGAATGTTGGCTGCAAATTCATATGCTTGTTTGATTGTGTTTTCGTTTTCAAATTTTAATTTTCAAAAAAAAGTCATTTTTGGACTCTAGTATCTTACTAGTTGAAAGGTGTGATGGTTAGACTTATTTTTGAAGCATACCGCCCATGCCAGAAATGATGAAAGGCAAGTTGCATTTTGTACTCTTGTACTTTACGCCTAATTTCATTTTACCTCCTAACATTTTAATTGTACCAGTCGATTCGTTGGACTTTGAATCAAGTTATAATTGGGTCTAATCTTATAACATCATTTAAAAATTAGAGGAGGGACTAAAATGAAATTTTGTATAAGTATGAACGGTCCAAATAATAAATGAAGTGTTAATAGTAACACTCATGTGGTGATCTACAGATCAACTGAGATTGTTACAGGGATCCAATTATGGTGTATGGAAGAACATGGTTAAATTGGTGTGTTTAGGGGTGAATTTTTTTGTAATTTAATTTTTTTTTTCCAGTTTTAGTCAAAAAAATTTAAGTTCTTTTAAAAAAACTTTTCATTTTTAGATTCTATTTAATTAGACGGTTCATAAAATTAAAAAAAAAAATAGCAATTTGGGGGGGACAATCCATTAAAAGACCAATAAACAATCTTTTTTTTTTTTTGGCTGTTTTAAAAGAAAATTTTAGTTAACATTTTAAATTTTTTTTTTTTTTAAAAAAAAGAATTCTTTATACTAGAGAGATTTAGAAAGTAAAAAATTGTGATCAAATTTTTTAAAAAGTTCATTAAAAGTATAAAAATAAAAATGTGAGTAAGTTGGATCCCAAACTCACAATCTTTCTGCATTAGATTTTGGGCTATTTTTAAAAGTAGGAAAAAAAAAGGAGATTTTTTTTAAGGTCCCTGGTATTATGATTTTATAGCATAAAGGACACTCAATATTTTTATAATGTCTAAGGTTCCTCAATATCAATCCAGAGAAAATTCAATCCAGTGAAATTCTTTAGTCCAAACCTAGAGAAAATTCAATTTAATCCAGAAAAATTCTCTGGTCCAAATCAGAGAAAATTCAATTCAGTGAAATTCTTTGGTCCAAAACCAGAGAAAATTCAATTTAGAGAAATTCACTCTGGTCGAATTTTCTCTGGGTTGGTCCAGAGAAATTCTCTGGTTTGGTCCATAGGAGAAATTTGAACAACCAAAGATATATACCTAGTGTCAGTGGCGTTCACCATTTCCATCTTCATCTTCTTACTGTTGGTACAATTATTAGAGTCTTGAATTTGAAGCTGTGATTTCAAATCTTCCACTTTGTTTTTGAGCTATGACTTGCTATGATACTAATTGTCAGTGCCTGCCAGCAAACCATTTCAACAACATCACAAGAAGTGGGAATACAAACCAGAGTCACAATTCCATGGATCTGAGCTTCTTTAGCTCTCTTACAGTTATAAAACTGAAGTTGATGACCACCGGTTAATAAAACTAGAGACCTAGAACTAAAAGCCTTCCCGGGAACTGACGTCTCCGATCATCTTCGACGATCTCTTCCGCAGCAATGATGACCAGAAGTCCGATTCCGTCGCCGGAGATAAACTAGGGTTCCGAGCTCTTTCGGTCCAGTCGAAGAATGCGTCGGCGCCTCCGTGATCGACGGCAGATTTTAGGGAGAGGAGAGAGAGGCCGTCGGAGGAGAGAGTGTGTGTGAAGTTGAGATTTTGGATGTAAATGAAAAAACATAATAGGAGCAAAGAGAGTTGAGACATTTGGAAAAAACAGAGTTGAGCTGAGCTGATATATGTTTAGAGAGACAGAGAATCAAATTTCTTTGATATATGTTTAGGGACTTTAGACATCAAAAAATAATTTTATAGATCTCTTCCATTACGAAAAGTGGGAGAGGGACCCTAGACCAATTTTTCAAAAAAAAAAAGTCATTTTTTTTTCTTTTTTATTTTAAAATGTGTATAAAAAAAATATGTGATGAAATTTAAATAAGTTAATAAGCCATGGCGTATGAATATGACATTATGACATGAAACCATGCAATTAACACATGCATTTTTGTTTATGCCAAAAAAAAAAGCATTTTTACACAATTCAAATATTTCAATAATGAAAAATTTAAATCAATTTCAAAATTAAACATAAATTTTTTTATTTCCTCTTTCTCGGTTTTGTGGAATACACCATACCTCGAATCCCATCCGGATCCGAAACAAAACCCAAGGGCCTATAAAACCCCAAAACCCGGGGCTCCGAATACAGCGCAATGTTAGTAATCCCTTTCCGTAACAGCTCGGTGACCAACCTCTCGACGACAGCCTTCCCCAAACCAATCCCCTGGAACGATGGGTCCACCACCACATCCCATATGATGGCGTTAAACACCCCATCCCCCGTAGCCCTAGCAAACGCCACAGGCTTCTTCGTCTTCTGGTACTCGATCCAAACCAGAGAATCGGTGTTTTCAAGCGCTATTCGGATCTTGTTCGGGTCACGCCTCGGGAACCCGACCGCCACGAAGACGGAGTTGAGATGGTCGATGTTGAGGTCGGAGGCCGAGCTCCGGAGGTTGAATCCTCGGGATTCGAGATCGCTGTCGGAGACGGAGCAGTCGTTGTTGTTGTTGATGGTCGGGAATTGAGCAGAAACGGCGACGTTCCGGGGGGGTTTGGTGGTGGAGAGACGGAGAGGTGAATGGAGAGGGATTGAGGATATGTGGTGGTTGTGGTGGTGGTGGGTAGGTAGAATCTGCATTTGCATGAATGCAATTTGCATTGTATTATATATAGATGTATCTCTTTTCTTTTTTTTCTATGTTATCTATGTTTTTGTATTGCTCAGTCAGTCTGGTGGTTTGGTTTTTTGTTTTGTGTATTTATCTTGTTAGTTAGTTGATGTGTGTGGTTCTCCTGGACTGTTTGCACATTCCTACCTGGATTGGATGCTTGTTGGGTTGTTGATCAACTCTTCCGAGTGGTACAATTGAGGGAAACCATCTACCTTACAATTAAAAAAATATTTTTTTGATTCACAACTGAAAAAAAAATAACATAACTAAATATAACATGAGATAGGACTAAAAATCTCACGAGTCATATCTAAAACAATATCATAACTAAAGAAGAAAATGACATAATCAGAGGTGCGTTTGATACATATTTTTTTAAAAGGGTGTATATTAGAATTTCCCATGATTGGGGGATGAAATTATTATTATGATAATATTAAGTTAAAAGATGTAATATATATTATTTAGAAAAAATTAGTAAAACATCCCTTTCTAACTTTAGGTAGTAGAAGAGGTTCAGTATTTTTTTTTATTAGTTAAAGTCCCTCGAAGAAATTTCTTTAAAATTTTTAAAATTTCTCTGTGAAAATTGAAATTTCTCTATATTGAACTTTCTCTGTGAAAATGTTGAGGGATCTCAACTATTATGAAAATATTTTATACTGTTTATTTTATAAAATCTTAATATCAGAGATCTTATGTGACACCCCAAATGATTAATTAATTTTAAAATTACGTTAATATCAACAATATATATATATATATATATATCTGTTTAATTTTATAGTTATATGTGCTAAAATGTAATTTAATTACAGAGTCATTGTGTCATATTAAAAAGATGGTATATAATAAGGGTGAGCAGCGGATATTCTGATCCGCCCAAACTGACCGAACTGATCCGATCCGCTGCATTTTGGACGGATGTGTGATGACGAGCGGACGGTTGCAGATTGATTTTTTCTCAATCCGCCTAGTTTTGGACGGATGACGAATTTGAAGTTCTTTTGACCGCAACCGGACCGTCAAAACATGAGCACCTCTAGTAATTTGTAAGATTTTGTATTTTCAATTTATTTAGATATTCTAATTGTATTTTTAATTGAAAAAAAGTTTAGATATTCTGTTGTGTTTTTAATTTGGAAATCATTTTATCAAATGACAAGTGTTAATATTTAGTATTTTTGTGTGAAAAATATAAAGCTTAATTTTATAATTTTTTTTTAAAAAATCAAATTAAATAATTTTTGAACAAAAAAAAGTAATGAAATTGTTTTGATAATGCATAGTTTTTTTTTTTTTTGTTATATACGTATTTATTATTAGTATTTGATAATTTACTTGATAATCTTTGGTTATGTTGAATTGGATTGTTATAAAAAAAAATATTGACAAGTTGTTGTATTATGTTCAAAATTTATAAAAATTTAAACTACTAAACTGATTCGTATCCATCCGCCAATTTACCAAACCGCTCAATCTACAACCGTTAATCCGATGGATAGATACGGATTGATTTTTTTCAATCCGTCAATCCAGCGGATGGATAGTGGATTAGAAATTTTCCAGCCACAACCGAACTGTGAACACCCTTAACATATAATTATTTTAAGATTTGGGCCAAATGAAATTAAACTTAAAATTGGGCTAAAGTGAAATGAAACCTAAAGTTAAGCAAATATTGGAGATAAGTGTTAAGTCTAATGGATAAGGATGCGTCCAGTGCAACGTGTCATGATCTGGCATCCTCATGGATTGATATAAATAGTGAGCAAGGGTTGGTAAGTTGGAAGCAAGGAAATATAAGGGAGGTTGGGTGCGGTAAATGAGAGTAAAATTAGGAATCAATATTAAAATGAGTAATATTATACTTTGAATAAAATATTTTATGTATATCTTGAGTTATCACAAATTATTTATGTAATTCATGTTTTATAAATTATATTAGTGTTTCAATTACGTTATGAATCCTATTTGTTTAAATTAAAATCCATGGATATGATTGTTTAAATTTTAAAAATTACTAGACAATAAGTATATAAACATTTATTTTTGTGAGAACCACCACGGGAGTCGCATACCTTGGGGGACTTAAATAACTATTGGCCTCTGATTGGTCACTTTGTGGCATTCTGTTTGTTATGGATTCATTGACCATTGTTCTGATTTTCACTTCGATGACCTCTGTTCTGATTTTCCTTCTGTACCGTGATTATGACTATTCTATTTATATTCTGAAATTCATTTATGCTATTTAAATTATTGATTAACTCCAATTAAATAAGGTACAATGTTTTAGCCTAAATAATTATCCATGATAATTTTGTGCCTTATATTCTTGATATAATATTTCTCACTCTGCTATGTAATTATACTTGTTGTCCCCTTTCAGATGATATTATGTAAGGAAAAGTGGTAACCTCGTGTAGTGGGACTAGCACAGGACTTAATGCGGACATGTTGTATTTTTGTAATAATTATCCGATTACCAATAAAATAAATAAAAGACCTAAGGAATTTTTATTTTTATTTTTTATAAAAATTATTGAGTATTTCGGTTATTTATTTTCCTATTTAATTTATTTACTACTTTATCTTGTCTCCGCCTGCGCCACTTAACTTGTTAAAATTAGAATTAATTAGCTAGTTGTGAATCTAGTCCTAAGCACTGGGGGTTAGGTCGTGACAATTTACAAAAAATTCTCCTATTATTTGGTAACATTTATTAAACATGTTTATGCTTATTTTGAGTAAAAACAAAAAGAAAAAAAATTATTTGATACAAAAGTATTGTTAGTAATATAATATAATGCCTAAATATAGTGCAACTTTCGGCTAATATAATATGTAATACAGTGCATTGCTTTTGGATTGTTTTTGGCTCTTTTCATCATGAGCCATCATTGTCCATTGTCTGTAAAGATTGTATCTTCTCCTATATAAGAAGCCCCTCACCATTTGTAATACAACAATCAATAACATCAATATATACACAATTTATTCTCTCTCTATCAATTTATCTTACATGGTATCAGAGCTAGGTTAAGAACCTAGTAATTTCGTTTCACCGGCGGGCGGCAATCTCGCCTTGGCCGCCCGCCGGACAAACCCAAATTTCCCTAATTTCTTCTTCAATGGCAGATTCTTCAACAACACTTCACCATCGCAGCACCAGATCCGATCACAACCGTTGGATCTCACTTTTCCTCTCATCAATCCAAACCCTTCTCTGGACCCTCGGATTACCTTTCTTTGTGCTGCCCCTCCCCCCAAACCGATATCATCTCTCTCTTTAAAAAAAAAAAAAAATACTTCACACAACCACATACCAGAACTAAATTTAAGTGCTTTACTAGCCTAGCCCCCTAGCCAAACCACCCCTCCTTACAACGAGAGACACCATTCCCAATTCACAAGATGGCATACAAACTACATTCCTACAAATTGCACAGCAAAGTTCTGTGAAGTAAACCCAGAAACAAAAACAAAGTGGGTAGGGAGACTGTTTAAAAAGTGCTAGCTTAAAGATAAGTTCCTTAGCAATAAGTAAGAATGCTACCAAGTCATCATACTTCTGTCTCATCTTTCAAATCTAAAATATTTTTTGGGTAGAGCTCATAAAAAAAAACCTTTACATCATTTTTTTTTTCTAACATCTCCACTCTGTGTTGAGTCGTTTTGCTCCACTTTATCAATCCCTTTGTTTCAACCTCAAATAGGTTTCTATCTTCACACCTATTTGAGTTTGAGGGGGGTTATACATATATCATGGTGAGCATGGTTACACACCATGCAAACCACTTAAGCTGGTGAGCATGGTTATACACCATGGGAACCACCCAAGCCACCCCATGGCACACTCCTTAAGTCGCCACCTTGGTGCACCACCAAATTCTTCTACAACGGTCCGACATGACCCCGTAAACTGTCCCGACATTGATTCCAGTCAGCTTTTACATCGGTCCAACATGACCCCGTAAACTGTCCCGACATTGATTCCGGTCAGCTTTTACAACGGTCCGGCATGACCCCGTAAACTGTCCCGACATTGATTCCGGTTAGCTTCTACATCGGTCCGGCATGACCTCGTAAACTGTCCTGCTACAACGGTCCGACACGACCATACAGTGTCTTCACCAACGGTCTGACACGACCATACAGTGTCTCTTATCTTATTTTACTTTTATTTGTCAGTTCATTTTCTTATTTTGTTACTCTCTCCAAACTCAAGTTGGTTCCTATCCTCCTTGAGTTTGAGGGGGGCTGTTAGTAATATAATATAATGCCTAAATATAGTGCAACTTTCGGCTAATATAATTAGGGGTGAGCGCGGGTCGGTTGCGGCCACGGAACCTCCAATCCGCCATCTATCCGCCAGATTGGTGGATTAGAGAAAATCAATCCGCATCCGTCCGTCAATCCGGTGGATGTGGATTGAGCGGATTGGCGGATTGGCGGATGGATGCGAATCGGTTTGGCGGTTTAAAATTTTATAAATTTTTAACATAATTCAACTTGTGCACTTCTTCAAAAAAAAAAAAAAAAGTATTACAGTTAATGACATAAAAAAATGTTACAATCACTGCATACCTCATCCAAAGCAAGAAAGTTTGAAACTTTAGAATATCACAATCACTACATGTCTCATCCACATACTACAATCACAACATGCCTCATCCACATAAAGTATTACAACCTGTGATTCTTAAAATATAAAAGCAATTTAAACCAACAAAACCATGAACAGAGCAGTAGTAGAGATTATATGTCTTTGTATTGTTACATCTATATCTGTTTTTAAAAACAAAAACCAACCAACATATATCATATTTTCTACTTACTATTTTTAGAGATAGATTTAAAAACCAAAAATATAGATAAATAATACGTTTATTTTTTTCAATTCAAAAAAATATTTAAGTTGAAAACTTTTTTTCAATAGAATATTTAAACTCTTTTTTAATTGAAAACACAAACAAAATATTTAAACAAATTGAAAACACAAAGTCTTATAAATTACTAGGGATGTTCGCGGTTTGGCGGTTCGGTTGCGGCCAAAGGAATCTCAAATCCGTCATCCGTCCGCCAGATTGGCGGATTGGAGAAAATCAATCTGCAACCGTCCGCTCATCATCACGCATCCGTCCAAAATGCGGCGGATCGGTTCGGTTCGGTCGATTTTGGCGGATCGATATATCCGCTGCTCACCCCTAAATATAATATGTAATACAGTGCATTGCTTTTGGATTGTTTTCGGCTCTTTTCATCATGAGCCATCATTGTCCATTGTCTGTAAAGATTGTATCTTCTCCTATATAAGGAGCCCCTCACCATTTGTAATACAACAATCAATAACATCAATATATACACAATTTATTCTCTCTCTATCAATTTATCTTACAAGTATTTTAAAATTTTATTTTAAAAATAAATAAAAATGGGTAATTGTCTGTTTCTTGCCAAAACGTTCCCGTTCTTCAAAACCCAGATCTCAAAATTTTCTGTGGGTTGGAGTCTGATTCAATAACTTTCCTTGATTTTGCACACTTTTAAGAGGTATTATTAACAATGATTCAGTTTATTTGTTTATGGGTCTTTGATCAATGCAAGATATTAGGCTTGTAAATGCCCACTTGATTGTCTTTTTTTCTTTCAATTTTGTTCTAAATTGCTGATCAAGTTTGATTTTCTATGTTATTCTTTGGCTTTGATATGTTTGATATTGCTAGCTTTGTTTGAAGTTCTTAAATACTACTACTACTTTAGGCAGATTACTACGAATCTGCCTACTACTACTTTCTTAGTTCTTTTTCATTATTTTTATATTACTTTTCTTTAAGAATATGCCTATTTGTGATGTGTTGGCATAAGAATTAAGATTCAAACATGTAACCGTTTTTATGTTATGTGGGGGTTTTTTTGCTAGTTACTCTTCCTCTTTTTCTTTTTTTCTTTTTCATCAAATTTGAGCGAAAATTTCGTTAAAATATTGATCTAGTGTGGAACACTCAAATCCTTACTCTCTATCCATCTAAAAAAAATAAAAGATAAAAATCCTTACTCTCTTTTTCCATCAAATCTCAGTGAAAAATTTCAAATTTGTCCTAAAAACTTGTTTTAACCATTTTTGATGGAAGAAAATCATTCCCAATCCTTGCTCTTTCTAAAATTTCATTAAATTTGAGCAAAAATATGATTGTTGGAAAATTGGTTCAATCTTGATTTGGTGAAATTTTTGCACCCGTGATTTGATACAAATGATTGGAGCTCACTTTTAGCTCTTTATTTATCAAATTTGAATTTGATGAAAAAATTGGTGAAGGATAGGAGATGCACTTAGTTGGATCATTTTTTTTGGTCAAATATTATTAAGAACCAACGGCAAAGTTTTGAAAAGCGGTTGTAGTCGCTGTAACGATTACGGTGGCGCAATTGCGATTGCGGTAATCGGAATTGTGATTTTTATTTTTTATTTTTGCACAATTTGAAGAAAACTTACCGATACGCATATTTTTTTTTCATCTTCTAGAATCACATTTATTAAAATTTAAAATAAATTTTGATCAATTTTTGTTAATTTTTAAGTATGATCTAATATATTTCATATTTTCAAATCATTATAAAAGAAACTTTTTACATTTTATTTCAATAGTTAATGACTTTAAAAATAACTGATTTTAAATGTCTACAAATTATTTTTGACCAATACCTGAACTAATTGAATAAAACATATTCACAATTACTAAATGAAATGATTATAAAAATAAAAATTATGTCATAAACAAAAATTATTTTTGAGGCATTTTTTTAGACAACACTTTACAGGTAACTAAATAAAATTATTTACAATTAAGTATTAAATGAGATGATTATAAAAATAAAAATTGTGCCATAAACAAAAAATATTTTTTATTTTTTTAAAGATATTTTTTAGACAACACATTACAGTAACAAAATAAAAAAGATTTATAATTAAATATTAAATAAAATAATTATAAAAATAAATACAACCACAGTTTATATATTTTTTATTTTACATGCTAATGTAATAAAAAAAAATTATAAAAAAAATTATAAAGAAAATAAATTCATATAAGATTTTTTTCTGCACTTGGATCACTTGAGTATTTATTCTTTTTTTTTTGTAAGCTTTTATTTATTTATTTTTTGGGAAAGAAAGTTATTTGGAATATTATAAAAGGGTGTAATAGTGTGTAACAGACTATTACGGCCATTACGTAACACCGAAATAGTCGTTACACATGTGAATTTCTGTCATGTCACTATAACAACTACAACATAGGGTGATAACTACAATAACCATTATATAACGACATGATTAGAACGGCTTTTTAAAATCTTTACCACCGGTCAAGAATTTTTAGCTTCTTGTTTTATCTGCAATCGTGTAGAATTGGAATTAATTTGGGTTCGTAAAATTAGTGGGAATGTTGACTATTTTGGAATTTTTAAATCTTCCCAAACATGTTTTTGCTTTTTTACTTGTTTAGCCAAAAAGAAACCTTTTTAGCTGATCCCAAACAGGTTACATACTTTCTAGGTGGCATTCATTGGATTTAAGTAAACCTGAGGAAATTTTTGTCTGTTTCTGCTATGATTCCTTCTTTGATGGTATACAGTGGCCCTTTTCCAGTGCTGCTCAATATTTTTCTGTTGCTTTCAAATGTACTTGGAGTGGACCTTTCTGTTAATAACTTATACATTCAAGGATGGATCTAGGGAGGGGCTATGATTCCTTCTTTGATGGTTATACAGTGGCCCTTTTCCAATGCTGCTCAATATTTTTCTGTTGCTTTCAAATGTGCTTGGAGTGGACCTTTCTGTTAATAACTTATACATTCAAGGATGGATCCGCGGCGGGGGTATATATTAGAAATTTTAAAATAATTTAAAATTATAGGAGTTCATACTCCAAATTTTTTTTTGGATAATTCAAAATTATATAGAGTAGTCCTCCCAATTTGTAGTTTGATAAATATGTTCAGTGCTACTTGTACAGTCCTAAGAAACATAATTAATGATAGAAGCAAATCGAATCAACGAGTTGAGGCAGATGGAGTTTATGATTCCATTATATTTTTTGAGTTTGTCTTCATCTTACATCTTATGAGAGATATCATGGAGATTACTGATGATCTGTGCAAAGCTTTGCAAAGTAAATCTCAAGATATATTAAATGCAATGCATTTGGTGTCTACAACGAAGATACTTATTCAAAAATTTAGAAAAGATGGATGGGTTCCATTGTTGGAGAAAATTAAATTATTTTCTAATGATCATTGTACACAGATTCCTAATATGAGTTGTCCTTATAAAGGAGGCCGAGATCAGTCTCATTCTGAAAGAGATCAACTCACCATGGAACATCATTTTCGAGTCGATATTTTTATGGTTACAGTTGATTCTCAGTTACAAGAATTAAACAATAGGTTTAAGGAAGATGTAATGAAATTGCTTGTTCTTAGCTCAGCTTTGGATCCTAGGGATGGTTATAGATCATTCAAAATTGAGGATATTTGTAAACTTGTAAATAAATTTTATCCCATGGATTTCTCCGAGCAAAAAAAATTACATTTGAAATATCAGTTGGAAAACTATAAGCTTGATATTTCTATGCTTCCCGAGTTTCAGAAGCTGTCAACCATTTCTGAGTTGTGTCAAATGTTGGCAAAAACAAAAAAGTCGACAAGTTATCCTCTTATTGATAGATTGATCCGCCTTGTGTTGACTTTACCTGTTTCAACTGCTACATCAGAATGTGCATTTTCAGCTATGAAACTCATTAAGTCTAAATTGCTCAATAGGATAGAAGATGGTTTTCTGGCTAATTACTTGATTACGTACATTTAAAAAGACATTGCTCAAGAGTTTGATATAGATTCTATCATCCATGCTTTTGATATTATGAAAGAGCATCGAGTTCAATTGAAAATGCCTAATTTTAGTAAATAAATGCATGTAGAAATAGTTACTACTTTTTGTAAGTGAATATGGACAAAAAAATATTCTCAATTGTATAATCATCTTTTGGTACTCAACTATGTTGACAATGAATATATAGTTCAATATTTTATCGTAACTGTGGGGGCATAAATTTTGAATGACAACACGTGGCCGAGGTATCACCGAAGTGCCAGCCGAGATGCCACGTGTCCTGGTCATGACGTCGAGATCAAGGCTAGACCGAGGTTATCTGCGAAGATATCGGAATTCGGAATAAGCGGATAAGGGACAAGAGTCCTAGAATGAGAGAGGACTTCAGTTTGGGTAAAGATAAGACTCTTAGAGAGTTTATCCCAATCCTACTGGGAGTTCAAGATTAGCAGTAATCCTAAATTTATTAGAGCTAGGCTTCTATTGAGACTAGGATTGTGTTGGCTATAAAAGTGACCACACTGCCAAATTAGTACTTAGTTGGAGAGCATCGGCAGAATAGATTAAGCCCGAACGACCTGCAACAGAATGAAGAGATTCCGGAGGTGGTTCGTCCACCCGGGGGCACTCCGTCGATCAAGTCAGTTATCTCTCAAAGATAATCAAAGTGCTTAACTCACTATTCAGAATATAAATTGCGTACCTTAGACTCATGGGGGTGCCTCACTTTTATAGCCAACACAATCCTAGTCCCAATAGAAGCGTAGCTCCAATGGACTTAGGATTACTGCTAATCTTGGACTCCCAGTAGGATTGGGATAAACTCTCTAAGAGTCCTATCTTTACCCAAACTGAAGTCCTCTATCATTCTAAGACTCTTGTCCCTTATCCGCTTATTCCGGATTCCGGTATCTTCGCAGATAACCTCGGCCTAGCCGAGATAATCTCGGCGTCATGACCAGAACATGTGGCACCTCGGCTGGCACTTCGGTGACACCTCGGCCACGTGTTGTCATTCAAAATTTATGTCCCCACAGTAACATTATTGATTTTTTTCATGCTAGTAAAAATTGGTATTGAACTTCAAATTTTATTTGTTAGAGGTTAAACGTACTTTGACCCCCCAAGTCATAATCCTGGATCCGACCCTAGATACATCGAGCAGGGAAAAATAAATGGCTACCCTGACAAGAATTGGTCTTGCTGGCCTTGCTGTCATGGGCCAAAATCTCGCCCTCGACATTGCTGAGAAAGGATTCCCTCTATCTGTTTACAACCGAACCACTTCAAAAGTTGACGAGACAGTTGAACGAGCCAAACTTGAAGGAAAGCTTCCCTTGCATGGCTTTCATGATCCTGAATCCTTTGTTCACTCAATCCAAAAACCTCGAGTTATAATAATGCTTGTTAAGGCTGGTTCACCAGTCGATCAAACCATCAAAACTCTTTCCGTTCACATGGAGAAAGGAGACTGTATCATTGATGGTGGTAATGAGTGGTATGAGAACACTGAGAGGAGAGCGAAAGCCATGTGTGAGTTGGGTCTGCTTTAGCTTGGTATGGGAGTTTCAGGTGGTGTGGCAGGTGCTCGGCATGGGCCCTCTTTGATGCCTGGCGGTTCATTTGCGGCATACAAATACATAGAAGATATCCTTCTTAAGGTGGCTGCTCAAGTTCGTGATAGTGGCCATTGTGTTGCTTACATTGGGAAAGGTGGATCTGGAAATTTTGTTAAGATGATTCACAGTGGGATTGAATATGGTGATATGCAATTGATTGCTGAGGCCTATGATGTATTGAAATCAGTTGGCAAGCTCTCTAACGAGGAATTACATCAGGTTTTCTCAGAATGGAACAAGGGGGAACTTCTAAGTTTCTTGATCGAGATTACTGATATATTTTCAATTAAGGATTATAAGGGAGATGGGTATTTGGCAGACAAGGTTCTAGATAAAACTGGCATGAAGGATACTGGTAAATGGACAGTTCAGCAAGCTGCAGAGCTGTCTGTTGCAGCACCCACTATAGCTTCGTCTTTGGATTCAAGATTCCTTAGTGGGTTGAAGGATGAAAGGGTTCAAGCCGCCAAGGTCTTCAAATCTGGTGGGGTCGATGACATCCTCACTGACCAAGCTGTTGATAAGCAGAAGTTAATTGATGATGTGAGACAAGCACTTTATGCATCCAAAATATGTAGTTATGCCCAGGGAATGAATTTGATACATGCAAAGAGCACAGAGAAAGGGTGGGACTTAGAACTTGGGGAACTGGCTAGGAATTGGAAGGGGGGTTGTTGCATTATCCGTGCTATATTTCTAGACCGCGTTCAGAAGGCTTATGACCAAAACCCAGATCTTGCAAATCTTCTCGTGGATCCAGAGTTTGAAAAAGAGATAATCGATCCACAGTCTGCTTGGCGAAGAGTTGTCTGCCTTCAGGCATTAGCACTCCTGGTATGTCTTCTAGTCTTGCTTATTTTGATACGTACAGGAGAGAACGGCTGCCTGCTAATTTGGTCCAAGCTCAAAGAGATTACATTGGTGCTCATACTTATGAGAGGATTGATATGCCGGGGGCTTTCCATACCGAATGGTTCAAGATCACTAAACAGTCAAAGAACTGATTTCTGTTGGTTGTCTTTTACCATCAAATGATTGTTGTTATACTTAATAATGTTCCTTTTCTGACTGAAAATGGATATCTGCTATTATGTTTGTCTTATCTATGAGGTTGAATTTTCAAGTCCCGAGAACATTGTATTTGTATTTCTTTTCGAAGTCTATTTGGGAATATTTCTAGCTTTCTTTCACTGTATTAAAGAATCTAATCCTTTTAGCCATACCATTTTACAGAATGAGCATATTTGTTTCCCATTGGTTTCAAGGAGCCATTAATTTTCATGGAGTGCTTGTTGATTTTTTTTTTATTTTTTATTTTTGGATAAATAGGGTGATTGTTGAAGTATAAAATCTTGAACTTTTTTGTTTTCTTATTTTCCATTCTTTTTATTTTTGAATTGTGTACAAATGTTCACTAATGATGGTATATCGATCTATCCATTGTGTTTTCATACTTGATTCTATCAATAACATGTTTTGCCCTTTTCTTCTTCTTCTTCTTCTTCTTCTTCTTTTATTTTTTTATTTTTAAGATAAAGAGGAGATTTGAAGTCATATTTGTATGTAAAAAGAGTCCTCCAGACCTTTCATGTCCAGGCTGTTAATGTGGCAAGGATCAATGCCATTTGTATTCCAACCTTCCAGGTGCTAGGTGCTTCTAAAACTTTCTCATGGAAAGTCACATTGAGAATTAATTATCACAATCTGGAATGTATAGAGAAAAATATTATAAGGCCATTTGCGTGGTGATTGTCACAACAGAACAATTTGGGAGTGCTTTAGTAGTTTGACTCAGTTAGGCCTCGTTTGGCAAGAGGCTATTTTAGTCAATTAGCCAAAAAGTTACTAAATTAGTCAAAAAGCCAACAACCCATACCAAAAAGTCAAAGATTCTCTTTTCTCTCTACTTTTTGCACATCTTTTCGTAATTAGCCAAAAAGTCATCCCAAACATACAAGTTTTTTTTACCTACCTTTTTAGCCAAATAGCCAAAAAGTTACTAAATTAGCCTGTTCCCAAACGAGGCCTTAGTGGTACTCATTGGGGATTTGGCAAGTTTTGTTCAATGACTACGTTGGGCATTGCCACTCTATGTAGTTCCGCAGAAAAGGTGAGGCCTTTATCAGGTGTCTGCGACACTCTAAATGATTAATTATTTTTAACACCGTATTAATATCAACAAAATATATAAATATATATATATATAATATGTTTAATTTAATAATTATATATGCTAAAATGTGATTTAATTAGGGGTAATTGTGTCCTATCAAAAAGATGGTATATAATTATTCAAAGAATTGGGCCAAGATGAAATTAAACCTAAAATTGGGCCAAAGTGAAATGAAACCTAAAGCTAAGCAAATATTGGAGATAAATGTTAAGTCTTATGGATAAAAACTTGGCCTAATGGATAAAGATGTGTCCAGAACAACGTGTCATGATCTGGCATCCTCATGGATTGATGCCACGACTTACCTCAGTATAAATAGGGAACAAGGGTTGGTAAGTTGGAAACAAGGAAAAATAAGGGAGGTTGGGTGCGGTAAACGCGAGTAAAATTAGGGATTTATATTAAATAAGTAATATTATATCTTGAGTTATCATAAAATAATTTACGTATATTATAAATTATTTTATGCAATTCATGTTTTATAAATTATGTTAATGTTTTAATTACGTTCATTATTTTATGAGCCCTATTTGCTTAAATTAAAATTCATAGATATGATTGTTTAAATTTTAGAAATTATTGGACAATGAGTATATAAACATTTATTTTTGTGAGAATCATCACGGGAGTCTCATGCCTTGGGGGACTTAAATAACTATTGGCATCTAATTTGTCATTTTGTGGCCTTCTGTTTGTCATGAATCCATTGACCTTTGTTCTATTTTCACTTCGATGACCTTTGTTCTGATTTTCACTTCGGTGACCTCTGTTTTGATTTTCCTTCTATACCGTGGTCATGACTATTCTATTTATATTCTGAAATTCATTTATGCTATTTAAATTATTGATTAATTCCAATTAAATAATATACAATGTTTTAACCTAAATAATTATTCACGATAATTTTGTGCCCTATACTCTTGATATAATATTTCTCACTCTGCTATGTACTCATTGTTGTTGTTCCCTTTCAGGTGATGAGATATGAGGAAAAGTGGTAATCTCGTGTAGTGGGACTAGCACAAGATTTAATGCAGACATGTTCTATTTTTGTAATAATTGCCTGATCATCAATAAAATAAATAAAGACCTGATGATGAATGTTTTTTTTAATAAAAATTATTGAGTATTTTGATTATTTATTTACTTATTTAATTTCTTTACTACTTTATCTTGTCTTCGCCTGCACTACTTAATTTGTTAAAATTAGAATTAATTAGCTAGTTTCGAATTCAGCCCTAACCACCCGGGATTGGGTCGTGACAAAAGTGGTATCAGAGCCAAGGTTAAAAAATAATAAATAAATAAATAAATAAATAAATAATAAAAATAAATAAATAAATAAATATATATATATAAATTAATATTTTTAGATTATTCTGACACATTAGTTACTATATGCGTGATCTTTTTTTGCACCATAGTTAATTTTAATGTGATGTAGAGATGGCCAAGCAAAATCTTAGTGAGTTATTCTGGTGTGAGCTTGGGACCATGAGTCTAGAAGGGATCTTAGAAGAGCATCACACCCCTGCCTCGCCAGAGGAATCAGGAGACTCCGAAAGTATAATTAGACAACTATACCTGGTCCTAGACCAATTGATGGATCAGCCGGTATACATGCAAGTTGATCTTGACGACGTAGCATTTCTGCGTTGGAGACAGAGCTCCAGCTATACACTAGGAAGATACTTTGGACCTACCCACGTCGTCGGCATCGCTCCAGGACTAGACGACCCCTGCTTCGTAGTTGTGCCTTTACCTCCAGCATTTGCTAAAATAAAGGGAAATATATTTCCCATCAACCACATATTCACTGACACCCCAACCCTCTGGACATTATTAATGTCTAGAACGTTGATTTCAGTAATAACCTAACATATCTCGAGACACCTGTATGGATCACTAACCGAGCATTTTGGAGATATATACAGTGCATCTCCATATACATAATCCAGGCAGCATAGGTTGTTTTGGAGTAGCTCAACTGGGATGGGAGTGTGAGCTCCTCATGAAGCATTATTTTCCATGGCTATTTGACTCCCCAATCTAGACTACGAAAAGGAAAACTCTTTTTGTGAGCTGACCACGATTAATTTTAATCCTTATTTTTGTACTGACAATATGAGACTCACTACAACAAAAATAGTCTTTAGAGACGAAAACTAATGATGAAAATAAATTTTGTCACAAAATACGTATCTTTTAATGACGAAAATAATATTTCGTCTCCAAATGTACCATTTTTAGAGACAAAAATAAAATTTCGTCACCAATCTAAATATTTAATAAAAAAATTAGGTGACGAAATTATTTTTCATCATTATTTATATTTTTTTTGTCACCAAAGATTTTCCCGCTATTTTTTCAGAGGGTACCAAAATTTTGAGACTTTTGGTGACAAAATAATTGGTCACCAATTATAAAATTATTAATGACGAATATATTTTTGTCACCAATAATTTTTAATATTTTAATATCATTTAGTGACAGAACTATTTTTGTGGCCAATATTTTTATCTTTGGTGAAGAAATAATTTTGTCACCAATAAATGATTTAGTTGCTAAATATTTTAGAGGGAAATGAAAATATATTGGCGCCTATGGAAGCAGATATGTTCTTCTTAAAAAAAAGAAAAAAAACCTATTATGCTTGGTCATACACACAGACCTCACACACACACACACACAATAATTTCTCCATCAAACCTAATTTCACACACACACACACATACACACCCCTTATACTCATTCACGAGACTGAGTTTCCTCATCGTCGCTGCTAACATTTCATCGATTCCCACACATTGCCGGTGTGCCAATCGGCTCACCGCCGACAGCCTTTCCTCACCGCCGCCGTTGGTTTCTCCTTCCCTTGCTGCCGATCGTTAGCCTCTCCTTTCCTCACCACCGCTGCTGTGCCGATCGGTTCACCACCACCGCTGTTAGTTTCTCTCTCTCTCTCTCTCTCTCTCTGTGTGTGTAATAGTTTCGTCCGCTGCTCTCTCTCTCTAGTGTATATGCTCTAGATACATATAATATATTTACATATATATAACTTCAGTAACCAATGTTCATCTTTCTTTGTATGTGAATTTTTTTCTCTTTTTGTAAATCCAATTAAAGGCATTGTTCTGGAAATTGAATTCTTTATATGAATTTTTTTTTATTGGCTTGTGTATTGAACCAAGATTTAATCCATTGGCTTTCCTGATTGTTTAATTAATTAATCTTACCTTTTTAAATGCTTATGTTAACTAGGGGATTTGATTATTATTTTTATTTATTTATTACATTTGTCTTTAGAAAGAAGAGAGGCCAAAACTCATCTTAGAGTAAGCTCGAGGGATGTGAAAATTGTAGATGAAGTAATAGGATATTTGATTGAGTTCATTATTGTTACGTTTGGGAATTTTTTTTTTGTTTTTTTGTTTTTTTTTGTTTTTTGAGATGTTTATAAGCTATATTTTGTTGATAAGTTGATTAGATTTTGGTATGAGGACAACGTAATTATTTTGGTCCTTTAATGATTGTTTTTGTTTTCTACCTTAATAATATTCGTCTTTATGCAATGAGTGAGGTTTTTAAATATTGATGTTGAATGAATTAAGACATTTTTATCTTTAATTATGAGAAAACTTTAATAGTAGCATTGAAAAAAAGGCCAGAATATTTATAATCCCTAGCCACCATCTTTATTGCCACATTATCTTAGGTGATTTTTCTTGACTTACAAGATCTTAATTTTGAAACCCTCTTCCCTTCAGTTCAGAGATTGTCTCCTGATTCATGAACAATATCTATTTTCTTTCAGCATCTTTGCCCATGGAATGCTAATTTTTTGTGTGATTGTTTTATCTATCCTTATTCCTTTTCACGAAGTAATTTTCTGTGCTTTTCATCTATTAATTATTCAGAGCTGTTTAGTGTTATGATTTCTACAATCCTTTTATGCCTCAAAGTCTTCTTCTGCCAACTTTTTTTTCTCTTCTATGACACTGCATATTGCCCTTCATTGACCCTTTGAATCAAGGACTATTCTGTTGTCTAAGCCTCTAATAACCTTTATGGTTCAGTTCTATTACTTTATTCAATTTATTCTATAGTACTAGAACACTATCATATTTCTATATAAGTATAGATAGGTAGAAGTCAGTAGTTTACATTATAAGTGTTAAGATGTAGAAATTTGTTGTAAGCAGGGAAATGCTCAGAGACTGGAAGTGCGTGTAGTCACATGGAACAATGATGAGCTTGCAACAGAGGCACTACCTGTCCATGGCTTTGAGCATTACAAGACAAAGGATTATGCCCTTGCTCATGCTCCATTCTCAGGTAAAAGTGTCCAAGAGTTTATGAATTTGCATTCAAACAGTGGTAATACTTATGCATTTTTATGTAGGTAGCAGCTATGCAGGTGGGCAGTGGGCTACTGGTGATGAGCCATTATACTATATTGTATCCCCAAAGGATGTAGTTATTGCAAAACCTAGGTTAGTTCAAATTTATCTTTCCTTAGTTTTTATTTTAATAGAATGTCATCATGTAATTTTCCTATTGATAATTAATTACATCACAAAAGGCCGGAATATTTATAATCCGAATACACTTTTCACATATCCAAAATACTTTCATATTTTTTTATTCACTTTTTACATATTTCAATACACTTTACACATTTTTCAACACTAATAACAACCCTAAGGGTTGTTTTTAGCATTATCGTTAATTATATCAATCTATATGCTATCTTATCTATAAAGTAAGAAGACACTTTTTTCGCACTTGTGAATCCAATCACTGCTTAATGCTATCTGTCAAGTTTAGTTCATGAGATGATTATTATGCAAACATTAGGAGTTATCTGTTTAAAGTTCTCCCCGTTTCTCATCTTTTTCATATGTCTGCTCACCAAATGTAGTATCTTTAGAATTCCAATTAAGCATAGGCTCCTCACCATTTATGGATATCTAAATCTAAATACTTCAAGTTTGTGAGAAGGTAGATAGAAGTGAAAAAAATCTGGAAGTTCTTATTGAAAAATAGGAAAATGGTGAAACAAATTAAGAAGGTGCATGAGCAGATAGGTGTCTCAGTTGGTTGGGGGGTGCTTGAGCAAACAAGTGTAGAATTCATCCATTAGTTTTAGTGAGTTCAATGAATTTTTTATTTAACGAATTTAATTGTATGTCATCTTAATATGGTGAGTGAATTGCCTGAAAATGGAATGCTTTAAATTTTAATTCACCTTGATAGAAAAAATTGTGGGATTTAAAAGCATAATTTTGATTCCTTTACTGCTCGCATTGTTTGTTTTGCCATTATATCATCTCCTATGCCATATTAAAATTCACAAACTCTGTTGATTTACAAATGCAATTTCTTGTTGATTGCTAGGGATGCAAAAGATCATATTTCTTGGCTTCTTCAACATGGATGGCATGAAAAAGCTTTAGCAGCAGTTGAAGCTGGGCAGGGACGAAGTGATCTTCTTGATGAGGTATTTCTGTTTGATTTTAGTTTAACAGTTCATTTATTTATTTGCATTGTATTACTTACTAAATAAGTAATTGATGCATGATTCACATATGAAATGTTTATATTTTCTTTCCCATATTTTCATGGAAACAATGTAATATAGAAACCTACAATTTGTCTAGATTCTCTTATTTTTTGGAAGTAGGCTATTTATGTGTTGTTATTTTTAGTCATTCTGGGTTGCTTTGTGAATATGTCAATTAATACTTAATGTTATAATCATGAATCACCTGGTTCATGAGGCATATGGGTTGCATATGTTCATAGCATGAATAGTTTGAAAGTGTCCTAGAAGGATCATATTGTTTTGGGACCAAAAACGATGCTCAATGCAATGCACTAGATACTTGTCTAAGGCCCAACATTTCAAAATTCAAAATAATGGCCTTTATGCCCCAAATGCTAACATTTGGAAATTCAAAACAATTGCCTTTATGACCTAAATACTTATTCGGCAACAAAGCCAAGAAAATGATCAACCCACTGAAATCCCTCCATAGCATAAATAATTCAATGCTCCAAACCTTTACGAACCAAAATTCATGCCTCTTTTGTGTCTTCAAATTAAAGGCTTTTAAGGGCATTGTGCTTCTAAAAAATAAAAGAGCTACATTAGGCATTCCAACTCCCTTGAAGTATGAGGTGGTTACAATTAAAATCTAGTCATTTTCTAGATAAAAGATGGTGCCTAGTCCTTGACAATTGGTTATATATGCCATTTCCATTTATGACGTTCGGACAGTCATTTTTGTAGCCATAGTATGGCTATTTTCACTATCTCCTGTTGTCAGTTTTGATTGTTGTAATTGCAAAATCTTTTTCCTGTACATGTGGACAATAACTAAACTTTGCTATGTATTTCCTTCCATAGTTCCATATTATATTATAGTATCGGTAGTAATACATTTTCAATTTGTCCACTATGTATGCAGGTGGGGTCTAGCTATCTTGATCATTTGATTGTGGAAAGGAAATATACTGAAGCCGCATCATTATGTCCCAAATTGTTGCGAGGACCGACTTCAGCATGGGAGAGGTACTAAACACTATTAAGTATGACTCTCCTGTAAATTTATTTTGAATAACTAGCAGTGGGTTATTTCTCAAAGATGGGTTTTCTACTTTGCTCATCTTCGTCAGCTTACTGTATTGGTTCCATACATACCAACTGAAAACCCAAGGTTATGTGATACTGCTTATGAGGTATGCAATATTTGACATTTCCTGAAAACTTAATTTGATACTTCATATGCTCTTTGGACTTGCTAAATTGGAAATAAAGGTCTTAGCGGTTTTTGTTAATCATCTACAGGTAGCTCTTGTTGCTCTGACAACAAATCCATCTTTTCACAAGGATCTCTTGTCAACTGCCAAATCTTGGCCGCCTGTAATTTATTCTGCTTTGCCTATTATCTCAGCCATAGAACCTCAGCTTAATACTTCATCCATGACTGATGCACTAGGAGAGGTCGGTATGAACATTTTTATCTTGATATTGATTACGAATTTTGGTTATTATTACATCTTTTCCATTATGAATTACTTTACCATGTCAGGCACTAGCAAAGTTGTATGTAATTGATGGACGGTACGAGAAAGCTTTTGCACTATATGCTGATGTAAGTGCTCTATATGGAGTCTTGCATAGTTTACATAGAAAACCAGCGATAGCTTAAAGTAGTTACACTACTGTATACACTCACATGATGCTCTGCAAAATCAAGCTCTGGCTATACTAGTTTCTTGACATTAACTTGGTTGTTTCCTTACTATTTAATTTTCTTTTATTCTTCAACTTAAGAAGCCAGATATATTTGACTTTCTCAAAAAACATAACTTACATAATGCTCTTCGTGAAAGGTATGTGTATGTTACCACATTAGGTGATTTTTTTTGGTTCGTATTATATCTAAGCTTGAAATTGCCCATTTCCTTGATTTGCTTTTTGTTTCTGTTGTTGTTATTGTAATCATTATCAGTTGTTACATAGAAAGGAAAAGTTCAAAGAGAACACTGAAACTTCTTTATTGACACTTTCTTTTGTAATCTATGAATGTGTAGGTTGTCCAACTGATGATGACAGATTGCCAACGTGTAGTACCATTGTTGACCCAACACAGAGAGTTGATCACTGCATCAAAAGTTGTTTCATAACTTTTGGCTGCAGGAAATAAGTGTGATCCCAGATACTTTTTACATCTGTATCTACTTTCACTATTTGAAGCTAACCCGCATGCTGGAAGGGATTTTCATGATATGCAGGTATGCAGAAAGAGAATTAAATTCATATTAGAAAATGCTTTCACACTAGAGTTGGTTTTGTTCTTAACTTTTGGAGTGATGGGGAGATTGAATCAGAAGAGGCTCATAGGATGAAAATTGATGTGCATAAATAAAAAGAATTGCATAATGGCTAAATATTATCATCTAAATTGATCTTTTGTAATGGCAACTGTGGAGTGTGAGAACCATTCACTTGTGAGCTCCATCAATAAGTGCACATTTTTTGCCAAAATCTACCTTCTTGTAGATGTTGGAACTTTTAAAGTCTTCAGAATAGTGGTTGATTAGTCATCCATTCTATGGAAAGGTACTTCTATTGGAAATGGTGATATTTCGAATCATGGGATGTGGTAGTGCTATAATTATGTTGTCGAACTAGCACGGGACTCCCGATTCGAAAACTAAATTCAAAAATGCACTTTTTCACACTTAAGCTTGAAAATAGGCCTTCAAAGACAAAAATTGTGCAACAGCAATGAGACGGCCCGGGTAACACCTCAAACACCTCGGGAGGGACCAAAGTAAGATGTGGAAACTTACGGAACTAGCACGGGACTCCCGGTTCGAAAACTAATTCCAAAAATGCACTTTTTCACACTTAAGCTTGAAAATAAGCCATCGGAGGCCAAAATCGTGCAACAGCCACAAGACGGCCCAGGTAACACCTCAAACAACTCGGGAGGGACCAATGTGAGTTGTAAAAACTTACGGAACTAGCATGGGACGCCCGGTTTGAAAACTAAGCCCAAAAATGCACTTTTTCACACTTAAGCTTGAAAATAGGCCTTTAGGGGCCAAAATTGTGTCACAGCCATGAGACGGCCCGGCTAACACCTCAAACACCTCGGGAGGGACCAAAGTATTACGAAACTAGCACGGGGCTCCCGATTCGAAAACTAAGTTTAAAAATGTACTTTTTCACACTTAAGCTTGAAAATAAGCCATTGGAGGCCAAAATCATGCAACAACCACGAGACGGCCCAAGAAACACCTCAAACATCTCGGGGGAGACCAATGTGAGTTGTGGAAACTTACGGAACTAGCACGGGACTCCTGGCTTGAAAACTAAGTCTAAAAATGTACTTTTTCACACTTAAGCTTGAAAATAGGCCTTCGGGGGCCAAAATCGTGTAACAACCACGAGACGGCCAGGGTAACACCTCAAACACCTCGGGAGGGACCAATGTGAGTTGTGGAAACCTACGGAACTAGGACGGGACACCCGGTTTGAAAACTAAGTCCAAAATTGTACTTTTTCACACTTAAGTTTGAAAATAGGCCATCGGAAGCCAAAATCGTGCAACAGCCACGTGACAGGCTGGGTAACACCTCAAACACCTCGGGAGGGGCCAATGTGAGTTGTGGAAACTTACGGAACTAGCACGGGACTCCTGGTTTGAAAACTAAGTCCAAAAATGCATTTTTTCACACTTAAGCTTGAAAATAGACCTTCGGGTGCCAAAATCGTGTAACAGCCACGAGACAGCCTGGGTAAGACCTTAAACACCTCTGGAGGAACCAATGTTAGTTGTGGAAACTTACGGAACTAGCATGGGACTCCTGGTTTGAAAACTAAGTCCAAAAATGCATTTTTTCACACTTAAGCTTGAAAATAGACCTTTAAGTGCCAAAATCATGTAATAGACACGAGACGGCCTGGGTAAAACCTCAAACACTTTGGGAGGGACCAAAGAAAGTTATGGAAACTTAAGGAAGTAGCACGGGACTCCCGGTTTAAAAACTAAGTCCAAAAAAGCACTTTTTCACACTTAAGCTTGAAAATAGGTCATCGGAAGCCAAAATCATGCAACAGCTACGAGTCGGCCCGGGGAACACCTCAAACACCTCGGAAGGGACCGATGTGAGTTGTGAAAATTTACGAAACTAGCACGGGATTCCCAGTTTAAAAACTAAGTCCAAAAATGCATTTTTTCACACTGAAGTTTGAAAGTATGCCTTCGGGGGCCAAAATCGTGTAACAGCCACAAGACGACTTGGGTAACAGCTCAAACACCTTGGGAGGGACCAAAGTAAGTTACGGAAACTTACAGAACTAGCACGAGACTCCCGGCTCGAAAACTAAGTCCAAAAATGCACTTTTTCATACTTAAGCTTGAAAATAGGCCATCGGAGGCCAAAATCGTGCAACAGCTACGAGTCAGCCTGGGAAACACCTCAAACACCTCAGAAGGGATCAATGTGAGTTATGAAAATTTACGAAACTAGCACGAGATCCCCGGTTTGAAAACTAAGTCCAAAAATATATTTTTTCACACTTAAGCTTGAAAGTAGGCCTTCGGGGGCCAAAATCGTGTAACAGCCACAAGATGGCCCGAGTAACACCTTAAACACCTCGGAAGGGACCAAACTAAGTTACGAAAACTTACAGAACTAGCACGGGACTCCCAGTTTGAAAACTAAGTTCAAAAATGCACTTTTTCACACTTAAGCTTGAAAATAGACCATCGGAGGCCAAAATCATGAAACAGCCACGAGACGGCCCGGGGAACACCTCAAACATCTCGGGAGGGACAAATGTGAGTTGTCAAAACTTACGAAACTAGCACGAGACTCTCGGTTTGAAAACTAAGTTCAAAAATACACTTTTTCACACCTAAGCTTGAAAATAGGCCATCGGAGGCCAAAATCGTGGAACAGCCACGATACGGCCCGGGGAACACCTCAAACACCTCGGGAGGGACAATGTGAGTTGTCGAAACTTACGGAACTAGCACGGGCCTCCCGGTTTGAAAACTAAGTTCGAAAATGCACTTTTTCACACTTAAGCTTGAAAATAGGCCTTCGGGGGCCAAAATCATGTAACAGCCACGAGACGGCCTGGGTAACACCTCAAACACCTCGGAAGAGACCAAAATAAGTTGTGAAAACTTACGGAACTAGCACGGGACTCCTGGTTCATAAACTAAGTTCAAAAATATACTTTTTCACACTTAAACTTCAAAATTGACCATCGGAGGCCAAAATCGTGCAATAGCCACGAGACGGCCTGGATAACACCTCAAACACCTCGGGACGGACCAATGTGAGTTGTGGAAACTTACGGAACTAGCACGGGACTCCCGGTTCGCAAACTAAGTCCAAAAATACACTTTTTCACGCTTAAACTTGAGAACAGGCCATCAGAGGCCAAAATCATGCAACAGCCACGAGACGGCCTGGGTAACACTTCAAACACCTCGGGACAGACTAATGTGAGTTTTGGAAACTTACGGAACTTGCACAGGACTCCCGGTTTGAAAACTAAATCCAAAAATGTATTTTTTCACACTTAAGCTTGAAAATAGGCCTTCAGCGGCCAAAATCATGTAACAGTCATGAGACGGCCCGGGTAACACCTCAAACACCTCTAGAGAGACCAAAGTAAGTTATGGAAACTTACGGAACTTGCACGGGACGCCCGGTTCGAAAACTAAGTCCAAAAATGCACTTTTACACACTTAAGCTTGAAAATAGGCCATCGGAGGCCAAAATCATGCAATAGCCACGAAACGGCACAGGGAACACCTCAAACACCTAGGGAGGGACCAATGTGAGTTGCGGAAACTTACAGAGCTAGCACGGGACTCCCGGTTTGAAAACTAAGTTCAAAAATGCACTTTTTCACACTTAAGCTTGAAAATAGGCCTTCGGGGGCCAAAATTGTGTATTAGCCACGAGATGGCTCAGGTAACACCTTAAACACCTCGGGAGGGACCAAATTAAGTTGTGGAAACTTACGAAACTAGCACGGGACTCCCGGTTCGAAAACTAAGTCCAAAAATGTATTTTTTCACACTTAAGCTTGAAAATAGGCCATAGGAGGCTAAAATCATGCAACAGCCACGAGACGGCCCGAGGAACACCTCAAAAACCTCGGGAGGGTCCAATGTGAGTTGTGGAAACTTACGGAACTAGCACGGGACTCCCGGTTTCAAAACTAAGTCCAAAAATGTTTTTTTTCACACTTAAGCTTGAAAATAGGCCTTCGCTGGCCAAAATCGTGTTACAGCCACGAGATGTTCTGAGTAACACCTCAAAAATCTTGGGAGGGAGCAAAGTAAGTGTTGGAAACATACGGACCTAGCACGGGACTCACGGTTTGAAATCGAAGTCCAAAAATACACTTTTTTACACTTAAACTTGAAAATAGGCCATCGGAGGCCAAAATCATGCAACATCCACGAGACGGCCTGGGCAACACCTCAAACACCTCAGGAGGGACCAATGTGAGTTGTGGAAACTTACAGAACTAGCATAGGACTCCCGGTTTGAAAACTAAGTCCAAAAATGCACTTTTTCACACTTAAGCTTGAAAATAGGCCTTCGGCGGCCAAAATCGTGTAACAGCCACGAGACGGCCTGGATAACACCCCAAACACCTCAGGAGGGGCCAAAGTAAGTTGTGAAAACTTACGGAACTAGCACGGGACTCCCAGTTCGAAAACTAAGTCCAAAAGTGCACTTTTTCACACTTAAGCTTGAAAATAGGTCATCGGAGGCCAAAATCGTGCAACAGCCATGAGACGGCCAGAGGAACACCTCAAACACCTCGGGAGGGACCAATGTGAGTTGTGAAAACTTACGGAACTAGCACGGGACTCCTGGTTTGAAAACTAAGTCCAGAAATGCACTTTTTCACACTTAAGCTTGAAAATAGGCCTTCGGGGGGACCAAAATCGTGTAACAGCCACGAGACGGCCCGGGTAACACCTCAAACACCTCGGGAGGGACCAAAGTAAGTTGTGAAAACTTACGGAACTAGCACGGGACTCCTAGTTCGAAAATTAAGTTGAAAATTACACTTTTTCACACTTAAACTTGAAAATAGGCCATCGGAGGCCAAAATCGAGCAACAGCCACAAGTCGGCCCGAGGAACAACTCAAACACCTCGGGAGGGACCAATGTGAGTTGTGGAAACTTACGGAACAAACACGGGACTCCCGGTTTGAAAACTAAGTACAAAAATTTATTTTTTCACACTTAAGCTTGAAAATAGGCTTTCAAGGGCCAAAATCGTGTAACAGCCACGAGACGTCCCGGGTAACACCTCAAAAATGCACTTTTTTCACACTTATGCTTAACTAAGTCCAAAAACTAAGTCCAAAAATTCCTCTGTATTAGTCGAATTCTAGCCCAGGTCTCTCTCTCTCTCTCTCTCTCTCTCTCTATATATATATATATATATATAAACTACGTATATATGTATGTTGATTTGAATTTGGATCTTCGATTTTATGGGGAAAAGAAAGAAAAGTGAGAATTTGTGTAAAAAAATTGTATTTTTAGTAATAAATTTGTGAAATTCGAGATCTAAGAAGTATGGTGGTGCGATGATGATAAATGTTAATCCCAGCTCATTATGAGGCCTTGTTTTTAGAGACTAAGGCCTGGGAATAGACTCTATCCAACATCTATCTGAGCTTCAAAACTTTTTTTTATGTTATTATTTAATTTTAATTTTAATTTTGATTTTTGGTTTTTGATTTTTGACTATAACTTTTGTGATTAGAAAAACAAGGTTTTGATCTTTTTAATGTTCCCAGTGATGTTTGTAAGTTTGATGACCATGCTAATTCTAATCAATTTGTGATTGAATCCTTATTTACTTGTTTTTCTGAGGGAACATTACACTTTTTTGCCATTTTCAATTTTTTACTTCCCTTGAATTGATTTTTTTTTTCTTTGCAGATTTAAATCTTATTATATAAAAATATGATTAGTCTAGCATTGTTGTTGGAGATCTCCAATCTATAGTACTTAAAATTATCCTCAATCCTTTTATCAATTAGTTATCAAAATAAGAGAGATTTTTTTTTTTTTATCAAATTGATAATTAAATTTGAGTTTGATGAAAATTTATAAAAATAAAAGGTTGAAGATTGAAATTTTTTCATTAAATTTTATGAAAGGAGAAATTTTGGATAAGAAGGAATTTTTAAAAGGATTTTGATGAAAGAACGTGGTTAGTTCATATTAAATTATACTTCTATTCAAATTTAAATTCTCAAATTAGATGGAAAATAAGTAGTGAAGAGGTGGAGATGCTCTTCACATATTAGCACGGGAGGGACCAATGTGAGTTGTGAAAATTTATGTAACTAGCACGGGACTCCCGATTTGGAAATTAAGTCCAAAAATGCATATTTTTACACTTAAGCTTGAAAATAGGCCTTCGGGGGCCAAAATCGTGTAACAGCCACGAAACGGCTCGGGTAACACCTCAAACACCTCGGGAAGGACCAAAGTAAGTTTCGGAAACTTACAGAATTAGCACGGGACTTCCGGTTCGAAAATTAAGTCCAAAAATGCACTTTTTCACACTTAAGCTAGAAAATAGGCCATCGGAGGCCAAAATCATGCAACAGCCACGAGACGGCCAAGGGAACACCTCAAACACCTCGGGAGGGACCAATGTGAGTTGTGAAAACTTACAGAACTAGCTAGGGACTCCCGGTTTGAAAAATAAGTCCAAAAATGCACTTTTTCACACCAAAGCTTGAAAATAGGCATTCGGGGGCCAAAATCGTGTAACAGCCGTGAGACGGCCTGGGTAACACCGCAAACACATCGGGAGGGACCAATGTAAGTTGTGGAAACTTACGGAACTAGCACGGGACTCCCCGTTCGTAAACTAAGTCCAAAAATGCACTTTTTCAGACTTAAACTTGAAAATAGGCCATCGGAGGCAAAAATCATCCAACAGCCACGAAACGGCCTGGGTAACAACTCAAACACCTTGGGATGGGCTAATGTGAGTTGTGAAAACTTACGGAACTAGCACGGGACTCCCAGTTTGAAAACTAAGTCCAAAAATGCACTTTTTTGAACTTAAGCTTGAAAATAGGCCTTTGACGACCAAAATTGTGTAACAGCCACGAGACAACCCGGGTAACACCTCAAACAACTCGGGAGGGACCGAAGTAAGTTTTGGAAACTTACGAAACTAGCACGGGACTCCCAGTTCGTAAACTAAGTCCAAAAATGCACTTTTTCACACTTTAACTTGAAAATAGGCCATCGGAGGCCAAAATCATGCAAAAACCATGAGACGGCCTGGGTAATACATCAAACACCTCGAGACGGGCCAATGTGAGTTGTGAAAACTTACAGAACTAGCATGGGACTCCTGGTTTGAAAACTAAGTCCAAAAATACACTTTTTCACACTTAAGCTTGAAAATAGGGTTTTGGCGGCCAAAATCGTGTAGTAGCCACGAGACGGCCCGAGTAACACCTCAAACACCTCAGGAGGGACCAAAGTAAGTTATGAAAATTTACGAAACTAGCATGAGACTCCTGGTTTGAAAACTAAGTCCAAAAATGCACTTTTTCCACACTTAAGCTTGAAAATAGGCCATCGAGTCGGCCCGGGAAACACCTCAAAAACCTCGGGAGGGACCAATGTGAGTTGTGAAAACTTACGGAAGTAGCACGGGACTCCCAGTTTGAAAACTAAGTCCAAAAATGTATTTTTTCACACTTAAGCTTAAAAATAGGCCTTCGGGTGCCAAAATCGTGTAACAGCCACGAGACAACCCGGGTAACACCCCGAACACCTCGGGAGGGACCAAAGTAAGTTGTGAAAACTTACGGAACTAACACAGGACTCCCGGTTCGAAAACTAAGTCCAAAAATGTACTTTTTCACACTTAAGCTTTAAAATAGGCCATCGGAGGCCAAAATCGTGCAACAGCCACGAGTCGGCCTAGGGAACACCTCAAACACCTCGGGAGGAACCAATGTGAGTTATGGAACCTTACGAAACTAGCACAGGACTACCGGTTTGAAAACTAAGTCCAAAAATGCATTTTTTCACACTTAAGCTTGAAAATAGGCCTTCGGCAGCCAAAATCGTATAATAGTCGCGAGACGGCCCGGGTAACACCTCAGGAGAGACCAAAGTAAGTTATGGAAACTTACCGAACTAGCACGGGACTCCTGGTTCGAAAACTAAGTCCAAAAATGCACTTTTTCACACTTAAGCTTGAAAATAGGCCATCGGAGGCCAAAATCGTGCAACGGCCAGGAGACGGCCCGGGGAACACCTCAAACACCTCGGGACGGACCAATGTGAGTTGTGGAAACTTACGGAACTAGCACGAGACTCCCGGTTTGAAAACTAAGTCCAAAAATGCACTTTTTCAAACTTAAGCTTGAAAATAGGCATTCGGGGCCCAAAATCGTGTGGCAACCACAAGACGGCCTGGGTAACACCTCAAACAACTCGGGAGGGACCAAAGTAAGTTGTGGAAACTTAGAGAACTAGCACAGGACTCCCGGTTCGAAAACTAAGTCTAAAAATGTACTTTTTCACACTTAAGCTTGAAAATAGGCCATCGGAGGCCAAAATCATGCAACAGCCATGAGACGGCCCGGGTAACACCTCAAACACCTCAGGAGGGACCAATGTTAGTTGTGGAAACTTACGGAACTAGCACGGGACTCCCGGTTTGAAAACTAAGTCCAAAAATGCATTTTTTCACACTAAAGCTTGAAAATAGGCCTTCGGGGGCCAAAATTGGGTAACAGCCACGAGACGGCCTGGGTAACACCTCAAACACCTCGAGAGGGACCAAAGTAAGTTTTGAAAACTTACGGAACTAGCACGGGACACCCGATTCAAAAACTAAGTCCAAAAATGCACTTTTACACACTTAAGCTTGAAAATAGGCCATCGGAGGCCAAAATCGTGCAACAGCCACGAGACGGCATGGGAAACACCTCAAACACCTCGGGAGGAACCAATGTGAGTTGTGGAAACTTACAGAACTAGCACAAGACTCTCGGTTCGAAAACTAAGTCCAAAAATGTACTTTTTCACACTCAAAATTGTGTAATAGGCATGGGAAGGCCCAGGAAACACCTCAAATACGTCGGGAGGGACCAATGTAAGTTGTGGAAACTTACGGAACTAGCACTGGACTCCCGATTTGAAAACTAAGTCGAAAAATGTATGTTAAATTGTATATTTTATTGATAAGATAATAATTGTCTAACTTGCATTCTTTTTTTTCTTTTTTTTTGTGTTTCATTTTTTTGCAGATTCGAGATTTGATATGGACATGTTTGTTAATTTGGAGAGCAGAAGCTAGCTCATTTTGTGTTTTTTTTCATATTACCTTACTATTTAGTTGCGTTGTAAATTTTATATTTTTGTTGGTATTACAGATCATGTTTCGTTATCCACACTTGATATTTTATTTTTGTTGATATTAGTAGACATGTTTTTTGTGGATATTAGGAGACGTGTTTGGTAATCCGCATACGGTTGATATTATATTTTTGTGGGTAGTGCTGAAATTCGATTGTGATGTTTATGAAAATGAACAGATTTTTCTATTGATTTGTAATAGATATTTTATTAAAAAGGTTATTGAAATGCGCAGGGAATTTTCAGATGAACAAGTTAAATTTAATTCAAAAATAGGACCCCTATTTCAAATTTTTTAATTTTTATTAGTGACGAAATAAAAAATGTCACTATTAGTTTTCAAAAAACATGACGAATAATTTTGTCACTGATGATATAGTACCAAACAAATAATTTTGTCATATTTGCTGAATATTTCGTCGCTAAATTGAAATATTTGGTGACAAAATGTTTTTTGTCATTGAAGAATTTACTTTTCTGCTCATTTTAGTGACGAATTTTTTTGTCACCTTAATCCATATCATTGGTGAGGAAAACTTTCGTCACTAAAATCTATTTGGTGACGAAATATTTCGTTGCCAAAAACAATTAAAATAAAATATTATTTAGTTTTGGTGACGAAATTGATGTTATAGAGTACGAAAAATGCAACATTTGGAGACGAAACATTTCGTCGCCAAAAATGAAAAATAGGCAACGAAATTGTTTTTCGTTACAAGGTACTTTCAGCGACAACGTATAGGCAACAAACGTGGTGACAAATTTTTTTTGTCACATATCACTTTAGTAACAAAAATTTGATGTTTGGAGACAAAATCGATTTGTCACCAAAGGCCTTTTTTGTTGTAGTGACTCTTACATGACTTCTAACTTATGTAACACTAACACCATATGTGTATGAATGATAAAACTGGTGTTTATATATATATATATATATATGTAATATTGGTAAATATGTGCAATGTTTATTAATTTTTTTTTCTAAATCTATACTTATAGTAATGGTCAATGATGGTAATGGAACCGAATCGTTGGTCAGTGGAACAGAACCAATGGAAAGAATCATGGAAAGAGCAGTTACCAGTTTTTTGCAAGTCCTACAAAACAACATAAACAAAGGAATATCAAAATGGCGAGAAAAGCCAGTTACAGTGAAGCAGTTCCAAGATTTGAAACCCACCATATTCACTGACGGCTTGAACCCACTGATAGCAGAAGCTTGGGTCAGGGACATAGAGAAAATTTTTCGCTCACTACCTTGTATGAAAAGACAGAAGGTAACCTTCGCCATATTTACCTTCAAAGATAATGCACAAGAATGGTAGCTTCTTACATTGGAGAAAGAAGAAATTGTAACTTGGGCAAGATTTTTGGAGGTATTCTACGAAAAATACTTCCCGGATTCACGACGGGAATGAAAGGTGTTAGAATTCATACACCTAAAACAAAGAACGATGTCAGTAGCCGAATACGAAAGCAAGTTCACCCAATTAGCTCGATTCACGACATATATTATTCCCACTGAAACTCCAAAGGCCAGGAAGTTCAAAGCTGGCTTAGATGATGAAATCAAAAACAAGATTGAGATTTTGAAATTGCCAACGTACGTGGAAGTGGTGGATTGAGCATAGATCGCCGAAAAAGGGGATTAAAGCCTCACGTTCTAGCAAAACAAACCAAAAGAAGCAGTTTTGGGAAAGAGTCAAACATGATCTGGTGTTGCACCCCCAAAGAAAAAAAATACGGCTTAACCAGTTCGGGCGACCAAAATCCTACAACCCCCAGAAGCAACGCCATTCCAAATTCTCCTACTTGTGGAGGGACTCATTAGGACAATGCCACCGAAAAATAGGAGCATGCTTTAGATGCGGTCAAGTTGGCCATTTACTGAGAGATTGTCCAAAGTTCACTAACCCTATAGTAGGCCCTCTAAATCAACGCAGAAGCCCATAGTACCTGCAAGTGTGAGGAAAGACCAAAAACACCAAGGGAGACCTTTTGCCTTAGTGCCTGGAAACCCGGAGGTTACCGAGAACATTGTAGCAGGTACACTTCCTATTTGTGGACATTTAACCCATATTCTCATTGACTCTGGCTTGACCCATTCTTTTGTTGCACCACATTTTACTTTCAAATTAACATCAGCACCAAAACCCTTGGGATATATACTATATGTATCTTTTCCTTCTGATAATTCTGCCCTTAGTACTGACGTATATAAATCTTGTACTGTAGCCTTGAAAGGTGAAACTTTATACATGGATTTGATCTCCCTCTGTATTAGTAACTTTGATGTGAACCTAGGGATAGATTGGTTTGCTGCCAACTATGCTTCTATTAATTGCACAACCAAAAAGGTCTCCCTACAATCACCAAACCAGCGCAAACTTGTCTTTGATAGAACTGAAGTCTCTATCTTTCTATGTGTTATATCATCTATGATGGCCTAACGACTTATGAGGAAAGGTTATTATAGTTATATCTGTTATGTGATTGATACGCAGCAAGTAGACCCCACACTTGATGCAATCCCCGTGGTTCAAGAATTCCCAGATGTCTTTCTTGAGGAATTACCTAGTACCATGGCCAATTAAGAAATCGAGTTCACCATTGAAACTCAACCAAGTACCCAACCGATATCAAAAACTCCTTACCGTATGTTCACGACGGAATTGGAAGAATTGAAGACTCAACTCTAGAAACTACTCGACAAAAGCTTCATTCGACCAAGTACCTCGCCATGGGGAGCTCCAGTACTGTTCGTAAAGAAAAGGGATGGTACGATGAGATTGTGTATCGATTATCAGGAATTAAATAAGGTCACCATCGAGCATCGGTATCCTCTGACGTGGATCGATGAATTATTCGATCAACTTCAAGGCGCTCAAGTATTCTCAAAGATTGGCTTGTGCTCTGGTTATCATCAACTAAAAGTCAAAATAGAAAGCATCAAAAATGCTACCTTCAGAACACATTACGGGCATTACAAGTTCTTCGTCATGCCATTTGGCATCACAAATGCTCCAACAGCCTTTATGGACCTAATGAATCGGGTCTTCAAACCCTATCTTGATGAGTTTGTCATTGTCTTCATTAACGACATTCTCATATACTCCAAATCACCAGAAGATCATGAACACCACTTGCGAAGAGTTCTACAAACGCTACGTGATCACAAACTGTATGCTAAGTTGAAGAAATACGAGTTCTGGATCACTAGCGTACAATTCCTCGGCCACATCATAAACAAAGATGACCTCTCAGTCGACCCACAAAATGTTACAGCAATTATAGATTGGCCACGACCCACTAATGTGTCTGAAGTTCGGAGTTTCTTAGGATTGGTAGGCTATTATCGACGCTTCGTTCAAGACTTCTCAAAGCTTGTGTTACCCTTGACCCGACTAACTCAAAAAAACACACTGTTCAAAAAGACTGACGAACAAGAACGTTGTTTCCAAGATTTGAAAAGCAGACTTGTGTCAGCCCCTATACTAGCACTCCCTATAGGAACAGATGAGTTTGTAATTTAAGTGATGCTTTATACAATGGGTTGGGTTGTGTCTTTATACAATATGCCTCGCGTCAACTAAAGTCTCAGGAGAAGAATTACTCAACCCACAATCTAGAATTGGCTGCAGTGATTTTCGCCCTCGAAATCTGGTGTCATTATCTTTATGGAGTAACCTGCGAGATTTATACTGATCATAAGAGTCTTAAATATCTGTTTACGCAGAAAGAACTAAATATGAGGCAACGACGATGGCTAGAATTTATGAAAGGCTGCGATGTAGAGGTCCATTACCATCCAAGCAAAGCTAACGTAGTAACAAACGCATTAAGTTGAAAGACCACCAGAAGCTTGGCTTGTACCCTCATTCCCCGCAAGATCAATAGATTGCTCGCTAACATAATTGTGGAATCCACTTTGATTGAAGAAATTAGAGTACGTCGGTGTTAAGATAAACTTCTAAAGAAAAAATACAATGAGTAAAGAAGTACACCCGATCCTAATTTCACTATAAGTAATGGGATGCTAAAATTTTGAAATCAAATTTGCATACCCTACATTCTAGAGTTCAAGAAGAAGATATTGATGGAAGCTCATAGCTCGAGGTTTACAGTCCACTCTGGCAATACTTAGATGTATCACGATATGGAATAACACTACTGGTGGACAAGAATGAAAAATGACATTGCAAACCATGTTTCCAAATGCTTGCATTGTCAACAAGTTAAGGCAGAACATCAGAAACTAGTAGGATTACTACAACAGCTTCCCATTCCTGAATAGAAATGGGAACACATTATTATAGACTTCGTTATTGGACTACCACAGTCGGCCTCAAAGAACGATGCGATATGGGTTATAGTCGATCGATTGACAAAGTCGACACATTTTTTACCAATCAGAGTCACGTACTCTCTCAATAAGTTCGCCACCTTATACATCAAGGAAATTGTTCGATTACACGACACCCTAGTTTCAATCGTATCTGATCGAGACTCTCAATTTACGTCTCACTTCTGGAACAAATTGCAAGAATTTTTGGGAACTATATTGAAGTTTAGTATCGCCTATCACCCGCAAACTGATAGAGAATCCAAAAGGACAATTCAGACCTTGGAAGACATGTTACAAGTATGCGTACTAGACCTTAAAGGTAACTAGGATCAGGAATGGCAACGGGTTAGGGCGGGGCTAGGGATTACACTCCCGATTCCCGGAGGTATAAAACTCCCCATCCCCGCTGTAGACACCCCATTTTTGACCGACCTTAAGACTCAGACGTCACCGATTGAGCGCTTGGTGATGTTGTATATCATGCTCGTTCAAAGGTTTCAGAGTCTCGGCTGCGAACCTTGCCTCCGGACTTCCGGGCTCTTTCGTGTCTTGCCTCGGTTTGCGAACCAGACTCTGTTTTCCCTGTTTTCTCTTCCCGAAGGGAGGGAGAGGTCTCGTAGATCATCTTTCAGTGGCCGTAGGCTATGTTTCATGGTCATAGGCCATTTTGCCCGTTTCGAGTCCGGTTTTCGATTTTTCGGAGCCGTTGGCCGTGTGCCTCGGTTCGGGACCGCTTAACCACCTCCGTTTGCTCCGGTTTTTGGCATGCATCTCATTTGCT